ATGTACTGGCCTGTCTCCTGGTAGCGCCTCCATGCTCTGGACACTACGCTGACAGACACAGCAAACCTTCTTGCCACAGCTCGCATTGATGTGCCATCCTGGATGAGCTGCACTACCTGAGCCACTTGTGTGGGTTGTAGACTCCGTCTCATGCTACCACTGGAGTGAAAGCACCGCCAGCATTCAAAAGTGACCAAAACATCAGCCAGGAAGCATAGGAACTGAGAAGTGGTCTGTGGTCACCACCTGCAAAACCAGTCCTTTATTGGGGGTGTCTTGCTAATTGCCTATAATTTCCACCTGTTGTCTATTCCATTTGCACAACAGCATGTGACATTTATTGTCAATCAGTGTTGCTTCCTAAGTGGACAGTTTGATTTCACAGAAGTGTGATTGACTTGGAGTTACATTGTGTTGTTTAAGTGTTCCCTTTATTTTTTTGAGCAGTGTATATAATGTATATACAGTGCCTTCGGAAATTATTCAGACCCCTTGACTTTTTCCACATTCTGTTACGTTACAGCCTTATTTTAAAATGGATTAAATACATGTTTTGCCTCATCAATCTTCACACAATACCCCATAATGACAAAGCAAAAACAGGTGTTTAGAAATTTTAGCTAATCTATAAAAAATAAATAACAGAAATACCTTATTTACGTAAGTATTCAGACCCTTCGCTATGAGACTCGAAATTGAGCTCAGGTGCATCTTGTTTCCTTTGATCATCCTTGAGATGTTTCTACAACTTGATTGAAGTCCATCTGTGGTAAATTCAATTGATTGGACATGATTTGGAAAGGCACACACCTGTCTATATAAGGTCCCACAGTTGACAGTGCATGTCAGAGCAAAAACCAAGCCATGAGGTCGAAGGAATTGTCCGTAGAGCTCCGAGACAGGATTGTGTCGAGGCACATATCTGGGTACTAAAACATTTCTGCAGCATTGAAGGTCCCCAAGAACACAGTGGCCTCCACCATTCTTAAATGGAAGAAGTATGGAATCACCAAGACTCTTCCTAGAGCTGGCCGCCCGGCCAAACTGAGCAATTGGGGGAGAAGGGCCTTGGTCAGGGAGGTGACCAAGAACCCAATGGTCACTCTGATAGAGCTCCAGAGTTCCTCTGTGGAGATGGGAGAACCTTCCAGAAGGACAACCATCTCTGCAGCACTCCACCAATCAGGCCTTTATGGTAGAGTGGCCAGACAGAAGCCACTCCCTAGTAAAAGGCACATGACAGCCCGCTTGGAGTTTGCCAAAAGGCACCTAAAGACTCTCAGACCATGAGAAACAAGATTCTCTGGTCTGATGAAACCAAGATTGAACTCTTTGGCCTGAATGCCAAGCGTAACTTCTGGAGGAAACCTGGCACCATCCCTACTGTGAAGCATGGTGGTGGCAGCATCATTCTGTGGGGATGTTTTTCAACGGTAGGGACTGGGAGACTAGTCAGGATCGAGGCAAAGATGAATGGAGCAAAGTACAGAGAGATCCTTGATGAAAACCTGCTCCAGAGTGCTAAGGACCTCAGACTGGGGTGAAAGTTCACCTTCCAACAGGACAATGACCCTAAGCACACAGCAAAGACAACGCAGGAGTGGCTTCGGGACAAGTCTCTGAATGTCCTTGAGTGGCCCAGCCAGAGCCCGGACTTGAACCCGATCGAACATCTCTGGAGAGACCTGAAAATAGCTGTGCAGCGACGCTCCCAATCCAACCTGACAGAGCTTGAGAGGATCTGCAGAGAAGAATGGGATAAGCTCCCCAAATATAGGTGTGCCAAGCTTGTAGCGTCACACCCAAGAAGACTTGATGCTGTAATCGCTGCCAAAGGTGCTTCAAAAAAGTACTGAGGAAAGGGTCTGAATACTTATGTAAATGTGATATTTCCGTTTTTTATTTTTAATAAATTAGCAAACATTTCTTAGAACCTGTTTTTGCTTTGTCATTATGGGGAATTGTGTGTAGATTGATGAGGGGGAAAAAAATACAATAAAAAAAAAACATTTAATCATTTTAAGAATAAGGCTGTAACATAACAAAATGTGGAAAAAGTCGAGGGGTCTGAACCCTTTCCGAAGGCACTGTATATACTGTATATATATATATATATATATATATATATATATATATATATATATATATACAGTATATATATACAGTATATACAGTGCCTTCGGAAAGGGTTCAGACCCCTCGACTTTTTCCACATTTTGTTATGTTACAGCCTTATTCTTAAAATGATTAAATGTTTTTTTTTATTGTATTTTTTTGTGTGTGTGTGTGTGTGTGCGTGTGTGTGTGTGTGTCTGTGCGATTCTGTGGTTTATAAAGAACTGAATGCACCAATCTTGCTGTCTTTCAAGCTCCAGTAAAGACATATCTGTCAAAGCAATTACAGTTCCATTCAGTGGCAGCAGCAGCTCTCAGAGCCATGGTTCTGGAAACCTACAGCTAATTATCTTGAATAATTGTTCAAATAAAAACTAAAAAACATGTGCTTTCCCCCTTTTTACAGAGCCAGCGAACAAACACACACACACACACTCATCGCAAATCCAGGCTGACTCGAATAGCCAACTTTTATGAACAGATTGAGATAAAGATGCTCAGAGGGCAGACAAAGAAACAATAATCTACATGAATTAGAATATTCCAATGTTGTTATGAGCTGCTGTGTCAGGATGGAATAGAGTGGTGGCTAAGAGTGTTCCGAGAGGACTCATCTCTAAATTAGGTAAATATACAACTATAATAACACCACAGTCGTAATGACACACACAGACACACACACACACACAGACACACACCACACACCTAAAACACATTTAATTGGGTATTAAGGGAGGAGGGAGGAGTCATTGGAAATGCAAGCCACTGACGTCAAAGGGTTTAGTATTGGCTTTAATGATCGATAGTTAAGACACACAGGAGAATACGATCAGAGTGTGATTCAGAGGGACAGAGAAACACTCAGGGTAAGTCCTTGACCCTTTAGCCAAGTGAGGTTAGTCATACCAGCCTTACAACCTATGGAGCATTATCCCTAGCTACAGCCTTCTAACCTCTAGAGCTTTACCCCTACTGCATCTAGCAACCACTTAGGAAGCACGTGTATGACCAGTTCTGCCCTGTGACTCTCTCTGACGCATTTTGACCCAGGAGATTGCAGTACAACTATCGATGACACAGTTTCCAACCTGCCTTGACGCACACCTTTTATTAAATACTTTTTATAAATCTGTAGCTACCAGAGTCATATACAGTGGGGGAAAAAAGTATTTAGTCAGCCACAAATTGTGCAAGTTCTCCCACTTAAAAAGATGAGAGAGGCCTGTAATTTTCATCATAGGTACACGTCAACTATGACAGACAAATTGAGAAAAACAAATAAAAAAATCATATTGTAGGATTTTTTATGAATTTATTTGCAAATTATGGTGGAAAATAAGTATTTGGTCAATAACAAAAGTTTCTCAATACTTTGTTATATACCCTTTGTTGGCAATGACACAGGTCAAATGTTTTCTGTAAGTCTTCACAAGGTTTTCACACACTGTTGCTGGTATTTTGGCCCATTCCTCCATGCAGATCTCCTCTAGAGCAGTGATGTTTTGGGGCTGTCGCTGGGCAACACGGACTTTCAACTCCCTCCAAAGATTTTCTATGGGGTTGAGATCTGGAGACTGGCTAGGCCACTCCAGGACCTTGAAATGCTTCTTACAAAGCCACTCCTTCGTTGCCCGGGCGGTGTGTTTGGGATCATTGTCATGCTGAAAGACCCAGCCACGTTTCATCTTCAATGCCCTTGCTGATAGAAGGAGGTTTTCACTCAAAATCTCACGATACATGGCCCCATTCATTCTTTTCTTTACACGGATCAGTCGTCCTGGTCCCTTTGCAGAAAAACAGCCCCAAAGCATGATGTTTCCACCCCCATGCTTCACAGTAGGTATGGTGTTCTTTGGATGCAACTCAGCATTATTTGTCCTCCAAACATGACAAGTTGTGTTTTTACCAAAAAGTTCTATTTTGGTTTCATCTGACCATATGACATTCTCCCAATCCTCTTCTGGATCATCCAAATGCACTCTAGCAAACTTCAGACGGGCCTAGACATGTACTGGCTTAAGCAGGGGGACACGTCTCGCATTGCAGGATTTGAGTCCCTGGCGGCGTAGTGTGTTACTGATGGTAGGCTTTGTTACTTTGGTCCCAGCTCTCTGCAGGTCATTCACTAGGTCCCCCCGTTCTTGTGATCATTTTGACCCCACGGGGTGAGATCTTGCGTGGAGCCCCAGATCGAGGGAGATTATCAGTGGTCTTGTATGTCTTCCATTTCCTAATAATTGCTCCCACAGTTGATTTCTTCAAACCAAGCTGCTTATCTATTGCAGATTTAGTCTTACCAGCCTGGTGCAGGTCTACAATTTTGTTTCTGGTGTCCTTTGACAGCTCTTTGGTCTTGGCCATAGTGGAGTTTGGAGTGTGACTGTTTGAGGTTGTGGACAGGTATCTTTTATACTGATAACAAGTTCAAACAGGTGCCATTAATACAGGTAACGAGTGGAGGACAGAGGAGCCTCTTAAAGAAGAAGTTACAGGTCTGTGAGAGCCAGAAATCTTGCTTGTTTGTAGGTGACCAAATACTTATTTTCCACCATAATTTGCAAATACAATGTGATTTTCTGGATTTTTTTTTCTCAATTTGTCTGTCATAGTTGACGTGTACCTATGATGAAAATTACAGGCCTCTCTCATCTTTTTAAGTGGGAGAACTTGCACAATTGGTGGCTGACTAAATACTTTTTTCCCCCACTGTAGTCATATATACTCTATATATGAGGCATGATAACAAACTCTCTCTCTATGAGAGGCTGCAGCCAGGCAGACCAGACTGTAGACATTTAGCTCCATATGGGCTTTATGATTTAAACAGCATTTACTTTAGTAAACTGGGCCCCTACTTTCCCCCTATTATCTACGCTTGAGTCTCATTTCAGACTTTCCTCTAGGCAGACTTTCCTTTCTGTCAGCAGGCTCTGAGGGGACAGGCAGAGAGAGAAGGGAAGAGATAAGGGAAGAGAGAATGAAAGAGAGAGAGAGGGAGGGAGGGAGGGAGGGAGGGAGGGAGGGAGAGCGGGAGAGAGAGAGAGAGAGAGAGAGAGAGAGAGAGAGAGAGAGAGAGAGAGAGAGAGAGAAAGAGAGAGAGAGAGAGATGGGCCAAAACACCCTGAGGTTCAGAGCTGAAGATCCTCTCTCCTACAACCAGCCCTGCACAGTGTTACCTTCTCAATTCAATAACACTTGATTTGTCCCAAAGTACTGTAGCTTAGTCTAGTCCCCTGATCTGTTTATGCTATCTTGCCTACTCCTATGGTATGTTTGGAAAAGACTCCAGACTTGACTCTGGCTTTACTGACAGGTCTATAAACTCACCCCTCTGAAGTAGCTTGTAGCCTGGAAGAAGACTAGGTAGTTCTTGGAGGGGTCCAGGGGAGTGTTCCAGTAGCCGTTATAGGTGTGGTTGTCCCCTACTGTGAATGGAGTGGCCTTAGGGAGACTGGAGGGGGGCAGCTCAGCCGTGTAGTAGTGAGGCGTCCCCTTAGACTGGGCCTCCACCTGGGACGCTGGCACAGGGAAACAGTCTGACCCGCTACCCAGCTCCCTCCTCCTCCTGACCCGCCTAGAACCGTCCTCTTCTAATACCACCACCTGGTATGTACTGGGGGGAGAAGGATGACAACAGACTTATAGGTGATAACTAAGCTGGAAACAGTTGGACATCTTAAAGAGGCAATTTGCAGTTGTTAAATCCATTTTTGGACTAGTAAATTAGTTATATGTACTCACTGATTCTTGAAGAATATAACTTATAAAGGCCTCATGAACTGTCGTACACCCTCAGAATCCAAAATATAAGCGTGTTTTATGACAATGTTTGTAATCAAAGTAAATGTAAACAAACAATGTATAGCCTCAAAACATGGCTAAGACTATAATTTTGATATCTTGGATGGTCAGTCCTTGCATCCATAGCCCCGTCTATGAATTTGAGAGCGTTTAAATTTGTCCAGGCCCATCCCTAAGCTTTATACTGAAACAGTTGTGAGGAGAATGCTTTATTGTTGTTTCAACTATCGATTGCCCCTTTAAGGTTACCAAAGACACTTCCTGATTAAATAAAGGTGAAATAAAATAAGAAACACAAATAAAATTCCAATGACATGTTTATTCGTAACACTATTTTTATGAGTGGTACAGTGATCTAGTGGTAGACAGTTGTGTGAGGTCTATTACTGTGGTTAATACGGTTACTGTACCTGACTGGTGCTCCTCTGCCCAGCGCTGGTCTCAGCAGCACAGTGATGGTACTCTCTGACTCACTGAGTGGGGCTGGGTTGTCCTCATAGTCAAACACTGGGGCTGAGAGAGGGAGCGGAGAGGGGGAGGGAGGAGGGAGGGGGGGTATAGATGGAGAAGGGGAGGGGAAAGAGGGGGAGAGAAAGAGGTGGAGCAGGGGGGTGTGGGTGTGTGAAAGAATAAGAGACAGAGAGAGAGCTAGAAAATGAGAGAGTAAATAACAATAAAAAATCATATATAGCACAGGAAGTGAGATAAAACTCTTATTCAAATAGACATCAAGCAGGACATTCCCATAGTTATTCACAAGGATGATAAGAATCCCCTGTAATTAGGACACATCTCACTGCCACACCCCCCATGAACAGGACGGTAGACTGGAACAACAATACTATGGTGAGCTCCTATCTCTAGGGAACATACACACACACACACACACAAACACATGCACAAACACAAACACACACACACAATTGTGTTCCCATCTCTGTTTACCGTTAGAAGACAATTAGCAAGGGAGCAGCCAGGCAAAAAAACATGAGCTTCCATAGTAAAGAAAGATTATTAATAATCAGCTAAACCAACAGCCTCTGAAATTAAAGGTAGACTCAGCGTAAAGACTTTGCCACGAGCAGCACCACAGATATTGAGATGAGCAAAATGCAAGATTTCGCTCTCACACAGTCAAACACATTATCTGCGCATGTGCAGGGGTTTGATTCACGCTGTGTACAGCGTAGTACACAGGGCACCAAAAGAGCGGAGAAGTTGAGCCTCGCGCTTCAGTGATCTTAGTTGTTGCGGACATTGTTACCTGGCGTTGTCTTTCATTTTGGGTCAGAAAACTATGTTAGGATATCAATGTACTCCTATAAACCTCATTATAAAATGTACTCATATACACTACCAGTCAAAAGTTTGGACACACCGACTCATTCAAGGGTTTGTCTTTATTTTGTACTATTTTCTACATTGTAGAATAATAGTGAAGACATCAAAACTATGAAATAACACATATGGAATCATGTAGTAACTAAAAAAGTGTTAAACAAATCAAAATATATTTGAGATTTGAGATTCTTCAAAGTAGCCACCCTTTGCCTTGATGACAGCTTTGCACACTCTTGGCATTCTCTCAACCAGCTTCATGAGGTAATCACCTGGAATGCATTTAAATTAACAGGTGTGCCTTGTTAAAAGTTAATTTGTGGAATTTATTTCCTTCTTAATGCGTTTGAGCCAATCACATGTGTTGTGACAAGATAGGGGTGGTGTACAGAAGATAACCCTATTTGGTAAAAGACCAAGTACATATTATGGCAAGAACAGCTCAAATACGCAAAGAGAAACAACAGTCCATCATTACTTTAAGGCATGAAGGTCAGTCAAGAATTTTAAAGTTTCTTCAAGTGCAGTCGCAAAAACAATCAAGCGCTATGATGAAACTGGCTCTCATGAGGACCGCCACAGGAAAGGAAGACCCAGAGTTACCTCTGCTGCAGAGGATAAATTCATTAGAGTTAACTGAACCTCAGATTGCAGCCCAAATAAATGCTTCACAGAGTTCAAGTAACAGACACATCTCAACATCAACCGTTCAGAGGAGACTGTGTGAATCAGGCCTTCATGGTGGAATTGCTGCAAAGAAACCACTACTAAAGGACACCAATAAGAAGAAGAGACTTGTTTGGGCCAAGAAACACGAGCAATGGACATTAGACCGGTGACAATTTGTCTTTTGGTCTGGAGTCCAAATTGGAGATTTTTGGTTCCAACCACCGTATCTTTGTGAGACGCGGTGTTGGTGAACGGTTTATCTCCGCATGTGTAGTTCCCACGTAAAGCATGGAGGAGGAGGTGTTATGGTGTGGGGGTGATTTGCTGGTGACACTCTGTGATTTAACCAGCATGGCTCCCGCAGCATTCTGCAGCGATACAACATCCCATCTGGTTTGGGCTTAGTGGGACTATCATTTGTTTTTCAACAGGACAATGACCCAACACACCTCAAGGCTGTGTAAGGGCTATTTTACCAAGAAGAAGAGTGATGGAGTACTGCATCAGATGACCTGGCCTCCACAATCTCCCGACCTCAACCCAATTGAGATGGTTTGGGATGAGTCGGACGGCAGAGTGAAAGAAAAGCAGCCAACAAGTGGGAACTCCTTCAAGACTGTTGGAAAATCATTCCAGGTGAAGCTGGTTGAGAGAATGCCAAGAGTGTGCAAAGCTGCCATCAAGGCAAAGGGTGGCTCTTTGAAGAATCTCAAATATAAAATATATTTTGATTTGTTTAACACCTTTTTGTTTACTACATGATTCCATATGTGTTATTTCAGAGTTTTGATATCTTCACTATTATTCTTCAATGTAGAAAATAGTAAAAATAAAGAAAAACCCTTGAATGAGTAGGTGTCCAAACTTTTGACTGGTACTGTACATATATACATACTGTATGCTATAGTAGAAACGACAACACGATGTACAGAAAAAAAGGCACTTACTTTGATAGGAAAGTACACATGTCCAAAGTTATTATTTGTAAGGAAAATAACAAGGAAGACAATGCGAGCGCCAGACAGAAAATGTGCCAATTCGTGCAAGACTGTGCAAATGTCTGCATACTTGATCTGCGGAAACATTGGTGAAGTGTTTGGGCTCTCCTTGAAGAGAGAAGTTTGTCCAGCTCAGTAAAGCCTCACTGAAATGGCTACTTCTATGTGAATAATGAGGCTGAACACACCTCAATTCAAACTGTTGTTAGAAAATACAACTTGTTAGAAAGTAATTTGAAATTGACAAGTTGAAACGTAGCCTATAGATAATTAGCAGGCAGTGCATGTTAACTGTCCTGTTGCGTAACAATCACATTTTGGAATAGTGAGTGCATTCTGACATCACGTGCATAAAACCCCCCCCCCCAAATTGTGCACCCCCCCCCCCCCCCCCCCCCCCAAATTGTAAAGTGGTTATCCCACTGGCTATAGGGTGAACGCACCAATTTGTGAGTCGCTCTGGCTAAGAGCGTCTGCTAAATGACGTTAATGTGCCCTTGAGCAAGGCACTTAACCCTAATTGCTCCTGTAAGTCGCTCTGGTTAAGAGCGTCTGCTAAATGACTAAAATGTAAATGTAAAAAAACAACTCACGATGAGGCGACCGTTAGAGATATTTGGAACTCAAGTGTGAAAAGGTTAAGAGGGCATGGTAGAGGGCATGACAAATCAGATCATGAGTCCATTCTGGTCCTCACTTCCTATAGACAGAAACTCAAACAGAAAGCACCTGTGCTAAGGTCTATTCAACGCTGGTCGGACCAATCGGAATCCATGCTTCAAGATTGTTTTGATCACGCGGACTGGGATATGTTCCGAGTTGCCTCTGAGAATAACGGTGACTGAGTTCATCAGGAAGTGTATAGGAGATGTTGTTCCCACTGTGACTATTAAAACCTACCCAAATCAAAAACCGTGGATAGATGGCAGCATTAGCGCAAAACTGAAAGCGAGAACCACCACATTTAACCACAGCAAGGTGACTGGGAATATGGTCAAATACAAACAGTGCAGTTATGCCCGCTGTAAGGCAATCAAACAGGCAAAACGTTAGTACAGAGACAAAGTGGAGTCGCAATTCAACGGCTCAGACACGAGACGTATGTGGCATGGACTCCAGACAATCACGGATAACAAAGGGAAAACCAGCCATGTCGCGGACACCGACGTCTTGCTCCCGGACAAGCTAAACACCTTCTTCGCCCGCTTTGAGGATGACAGAGTGCCACTGAGGACTGTGGGCTCTCGTTCTCCGTGGCCGATGTAAGACATTTAAGCGCGTTAACCCTTCCAAGGCTGCCGGCCCAGACGGCATCCCTAGCCGCATCCTCATCACATGAGCAGACCAGCTGGCTGGAGTGTTTACGGACATATTCAATCTCTCCTTATCCCAGTCTGCTGTCCCCAATTGCTTCAAGATGTCCACCATTGTTCCTGTACCCAAGAAAGCAAAGGTAAATGAACTAAATTACTATCGCCCCATAGCACTCACTACTGTCATCATGAAGTGCTTTGAGAGGCTAGTTAAGGATCATATCACCTCCACCTTACCTGACAAGCCTAGACCCACTTACATTTGCATACCGCCCCAATAGATCCACAGACGATGCAATCGCATTCACACTGCACACTGCCCTATCCCATCTGGACAAGAGGAATACCTATGTAAGAATGTTGTTCATTGACTACAGCTCAGCATTCAACACCATAGTACCCTCCAAGCTCATCATTAAGCTCGGGGCCCTTGGTCTGAACCCCACCCTGTGCAACTGGGTCCTGGACTTCATGACGGGCTGCCCCCCAGGTGGTGAAGATAGGAAACAACATCTCAGCTACGCTGATCCTCAACACAGGGGCACCACAAGGATGCGTGCTCCTGTACTCCCTGTTCACCCATGACTGCGTGGCCACGCATGCCTCCAACTCAATCATCAAGTTTGCAGACGACACAACAGTAGTAGACCTGATTACCAACAATGACGAGACAGCCTACAGGGAGGAGGTGAGGGCCCTGGCGGAGTGGTGCCAGGAAAATAACCTCTCCTTCAACGTCAACAAAATGAAGGAGCTGATCATGGACTTCAGGAGACAGCAGAGGGAGCACGCCCCCATCCACATCAACGGGACCACAGTGGAGAAGGTGAAAAGTACACCACTGACAATCTGAAATGGTCCACCCACACAGACAGTGTGGTGAAGAAGGCACAATAGCACCTCTTCAACCTCAGGAGGCTGAAGAAATATGGTTTGGCCCCTAAGACCCTCACAAACTTTTACAGATGCACAATTGAGAGCATCCTGTCGGGCTGTATCACCGTCTGGTACGGCAATTGCACCGCCCGCAACCGCAGGGCTCTCCAGAGGGTGGTGCGCTCTGCCCAACGCATCACCTGGGACACACTGCCTGCCCTCCAGGACCCCTACAGCACCCGATGTCACAGGAAGGAAATAAACCACCCGAGCCACTGCCTGTTCACCCCGCTATCATCCAGACGGCAAGGTAAGTACAGGTGATCAAAGCTGGGACAGAGAGACTGAAAAACAGCTTCCATCTCAAAGCCATCAGACTGTTAAATAGCCATCACTAACCGGCCTACACCAAGTACCCTGCACTGAACTTAGTCACTGTCACTAGCCGGCTACCACCCTATATACATAGACATGGAATCACTGGTCACTTTAATAATGGAACACTGGTCACTTTAATAATGTTTACATACTGTTTTACTCATTTAATCTGTATATACTGTATTCAAGTCAATGCCACTCCAACATTGCTCATCCTAATATTGATATATCTCTTAATTCCATTCCTTTACTTTTAGATTGTGTGTATTGTTGTGAATTGTTAGATACTACTTTACTGTTGGAGCTAGGAACACAAGCATTTTGCTACACCGGCAATAACATCTACTAAATATGTGTATGCGACCAATACATTTTGATTTGATTTGATTTAAACCAGTATGAAAATAAGTATGGGATACTTTGCAAGCTTGGTGTGTGGGAGAAGGGAACTTATTTTCTTTGAACAGGACCCAGGAACCATATTATGTATGCTATCCTGATGCAGTGAAAAAGAGTGAAAAATAATCAACAAATTAAGTAAGCTTTAAGCAAAATCTTTGTGTTGACCTAGCACATTTTTGCTTACACAGAATCTGGTCACCAGTCTCAGTCCTATCTCTCAGGACAGAACAAGGAACAAGTGATCAAGTCAAACCCTTCTAGTCTACCCCCAGTCCCAGTCCCCAGGCCCAGCCTCAGCCTCAGCCCCCAGCCCAGCCCAGCCCCGAACATCAACCCCCAGCCTCAGCCACCATTTCAGCCCCTAGCCTCAGTCCCCAGTCTCAGCCCCCAGCCTCAGCCCACAGCCTCAGCCCCCAGCCTCAGCCCCCAGCCTCAGCCCTCAGCCCCCAGCCTCAGCCCCAGCCCCCAGCCTCAGCCCACAGCCTCAGCCCCCAGCCTCAGCCCCCAGCCCCCAGCCCCCAGCCTCAGCCCACAGCCTCAGCCCCCAGCCTCAGCCCCCAGCCTCAGGCGTCGATCAGCGCTCATGCCACACACCCTCACCGGAGATGTTGGTGGTGATCTCAGTGAGGGCGGTCTGTCCGAAGCCTTTGGTGGTGCGAGCTCTAACAGACACCAGGTAGGTGGTGCCGGGGTGTAGGCCAGAGAACATGTGGTATGTCTCGTTCCTCAGCTTGGAGACAGTACGGCGAGGGCCCGGTACGTTGATACCCGGGTCGGATGACTCAATGCCCTGGTAACTGATCTGGAGACCGGGAACAAAACACAGACAAATAGGATCACAATGCTGTGTTGTAAGACTATTGCTGTTATAACAGATTTAGGAACAGGGAACAAAACACAAACCATAGAATCACAATGAGTAGTCCCTGGTGACAAATTGTGAACATAAATTAATCAAGGCGAGATTTGATTCTGCTTCCTGAGATCATACAATAGGTGTTGTTATTGTTGTCGGAGGAGGAGAGAGATGTTTTCCTGTGGGTTGTTTTAATGTTGGGAGTCAAGCAGAGATTCGACAAATAAGGTGTTACTGTGCCTCTGACTGTGCCTGTGCCTGCCTGCCTGCCTTGCACTCCCACCCACAGTGACTCCACCACGCAGCCCAAAATGAGATCATTCCTGTTGTCATCGTGTGTTACTGAAGGAAGCACTCAGAACGTCTCCTCTGTCACCACAGACAACCAACAGACACCCCAATCATTTCTGCTGCTGTTCTTTTCTGCTTCACTCTCTCCTTTTCTTTCTCAGAGATCCTGTTTGCAGTGCCTCTCTCTTCTCTCTCTTCTATCGTTCCTCTCACCTCTCTTCTCTTTATTCTTTCCCTCTCTCTCTCTCCTCCCCCTCTCTCTTCTCTCTCTCTTCTCTCTCCTCTCACCAGGCAGCTCTGACACGTTCCTGTTTCTCATTCTCCTCTCTCCTGATTCAACCATCTAGTCTCACTCCTCCATCCCTCCACTCTTTCACACTCTGCCTAAATTCATCTTCATCTTCTCACTATTCCTACAGCATCTTTCCCTTTCCTGTCTCCATATCTTCTGTCTCTTTTCCATTTCACCTTCAATATCTATTCCAACAGCTTCTTCCCTCCCTTTCCCTCATTCCATCATTCTATCTATCAGTATCTCTCCATCTCACTATTTACATGTCCCTTCCTTTTCAACACACTCTCTCTCTCTGTCAGAGCAGACTCCTCAGGCCCAGACCGGTCTCTGTCTGGACACCTATCATTCATTCAGCTGTGTCACCGCAGCCTGCCTGACTGCCGGATAGAAAGACAGACACACGCCAGACTACCAGGCAGACCTATTGCATCCATAGCTTCATCTAGGCTTTTGAAGATTAGTTACAGTTCTCTAGCAAAATATTGGCAGAAAACAGTAATCTCTGTATGCTCTAAGAGTTGGCTACAGAGGTCTGTGGCGGGTGATACACGTACATCAATAATTTGCCCCCATGTGAAAGCGTCTCTTAGGCAAATAAATAATTATACTGCTTGTCGCTATATAATTGCAGGGCTGCAGTCAGAGGCTCTGCTAGCCTCATTAGCATAGGAACACATACAGAGGCCTGAACTATGGAGAGAGAGAGAGAGAGAGAGGAGGAGAGAGAGAGAGAGACGATAGATAGCTAGCGCCGAGATGAGAGCATATAGATACGAGATATATACTCATCCTCGTATCTGCTAGCTCCTCTCATCTCTCTATCTCTCTCCTATCACACTAGAGGGATACATTCCCTCTATCTATGACTCTGCGTACCATTTATCTTTATGCTTGTCCTATCTGTTCGTGAAGGCAACTAGATTCAGCCGCGGGCCTATTTTTGTCGAAGCGGAGGGTCGGGGGACCGGAACATAATTTATAATAATTAGTACACTGCCAATTGACCACAACTAAGCCCAAAAAGAGATTGTATTTGAAAATAACAATCATTTCATACCTTGATTATATTGAGACACAATCACGTCTCTTATTTTATTTGTGGGAATACTTTTTCAACAGAATTCCTAAATTAAACAATTATTTTGCTGAATTCCTGGTGATGAGTATCTTTTTACCCCCCTCCCCAAAAAAACAACACAACAACACACTGGTCTGTGTCAGGCTGAAGGAAATTAGAGACAGATAGAGATCAATCTCAGTAAAATAAGCAAAAATGATTAATCTGGAAAAAAAAGAGAAAGATAGAGATCAAGATTGAGCTCGAGATAGATATGTGATCGCAAAAAGGTAGACAGACCGGAAAGTTGAGGGCATGTTCCATACCTCATACTGTGTGATGACCCCATTGGGCTCCACAGGCTCCTCCCACTTCAGAAAGATCAAATCGTCCAATGGGGTGAAAGTCAGTGACTCTGGGGCGATGCCACCAGGAACTGGAAAAGAAAACATGACATAAACATTCTGAGAGAACCCGCAGATGATTGAATAGGGGATCCTATAGGAAGGAAGTGATAAAGGATATCCGGTTTCCAGCCCTAAAGACAGGCAAACCGATTTAAGGACCAGAAGATTTGATGAGTGTGTGCCTGGGTGCAAGCCTGAGACACGGTCTCAGAGCCAGACAGACAGTCAGACAGGAACGGGGGCAGGTCCCTCAGGGTGAAGTGTGATTGGTTGTGTGTACATCTGTGTCTGATTGAAAGACTCCGCTGCTACAGTTCATGCAGGTTTCGACAACTTACAATCTCCTCTGACTGTCTGACTGTCTGACTGTCTGTCTGGCTCTGAGACCGTGTCTCAGGCGGGTAGAGTCTAGAGTACTGCCTTGTGGCTGACAGTTAAACCTGCTCTATCCCCTCTCTCTCTCCACAACAGCCCTGAGAGGAGCAGAGGACAACAGCAACAGTGTAATGGCAGGGCCTAACAGGGAAATTGGCATCCAAACAAGAAACCCAAATGGGTCTGAGACTTTGTCTGAGACAGGGACTCTTGTTTTGACATGGGGATTACAAGCAGTCAATGGATCTAATAGGGACCTGAAAAATCAGGGCATTTGGTGTTATTTACAAGGCAGTGCATATGTTGAAGACACGGTTGATTGGTTAGTGACAGAGTTGGGAAAGTTCAACAAGCCCTAGAGATGACGAATGGCTTGTGGTTGTCTGGGACACATGAATTCTGGGTTGAATCTGTGCATGCGTATGCATGTATTTGTGTGTGCGAAAAACTACAGAGAGGTAATTGTATTAGGTCTCCCTGTAGTCTTTTTGATTATTTTCTCTTGCCCAAAGAGATCTCTGGGAAGGTGAGATAGTTGAGAGTCTCTCTCTCTGCTTGCTTACTTCAAGTTCTGCTGTTCAACTGACTATGAAATTTATAACATTATACAGCAGAATCACATTGTCATCAAACACAAATGGGAGGACCTTGCAATTTGGAAATTTCAAAAATCAACCAATTTCACACAATGTATTGTAATCTTACCTCTCTTTTTTTATTTTACCCAGTAAGTTGACTGACAACGCATTTTCATTTGCAGCAATGACCTGGGGAATAGTTACAAGGGAGAGGAGGGGGGATGAATGAGCCAATTGGAAGCTGGGGATGATTAGGTGGCCATGATGGTATGAGGACCAGATTGGGAATTTAGCTAGGACACCAGGGTTAACACCCCTACTCTTACGATATGGGCCATGGGATCTTTAGTGACCACAGAGAGTCAGGACACCAGTTTAACATCCCATCCGAAAGACGGCACCCTACACAGAGCAATGGCTCCAATCACTGCCCTCGGGCATTGAGATATTGGTTATATACATGGTTATGTAGGTTAGTCACTGCATTGACCACTACTGGGTCCAACACTCTCTGGGTTTCATATAAACGACAATGCATGCTGGGTAATAGAGTCCACTCACTGTCCTCCTCGGTCTGAAAGGTGACCTCTCTGTTCTCCTTCTTGCCTTCTGGGTTTTCCAGCGCCAGCCGGACGTAGACGGAGCGGAACGGGGGCAGGTCCCTCAGGGTGAAGTGTGATTGGTTCCTCTCCACGGAGAGACACTCCCTCACTGTGGCGTTGTTCCCTGCGCTGCCTCCTGCAGGCGTGGAGTAGCGGTAGCAGAGAGAGACAGAGTAGGTGTGGCAGCGCGTCAGGTTGTAGCCCAGAGGTTCCCACTGTAAGGCTAGTTGACGAGGCTGGATCTCTGTGGCTGTGAGGCCTCGCAAACGCACGCATCGGCTCTGATGGAGAGATGGGTAGGGAGATGGAGGAGCGAGGGTGTGGGTGAGGAGAGAGCCCAAGAGCTAGAAGAGAGAAGAGAGGAGAGAGAGAAAGATAGATAGGGAGAGAGATATAATCGATAATAGAATCAAAGATATCTTATCTAGATGTCTATTGTAGCTAGTAATCTCGTCTCTCTCTTCTCTCTCTCTCCTCTCTCTCTCGCTCTCTCTCCTCTCCTCTCTCTCTCTCCTCTCTCTCCTCCTCTCTCTCTCTCTCTTTCCTCCTCCTTTCCTCTCTCTCTCTCTCTTCTCTCTCCTCCTCGTCTTCGCTCTCGCGCGCTCGCTCTCTCTCTCTCTCGCGTTCTCGCGCCTCTTCCTCTCCTCTCCTGCTCTCTCTCTCCTCTCGCCTCGCGCTCGCGCGCTCGCTCGCGCTCCCTCTTGTGCGCGGCGCGCGCCTCCCGGACATTGTGAGATGGAGTGATGAATCAAAATAGAAAGATAAGGAGAAAGAGACAGATGGTTAGTTCCGATATTTACTTCACAAACTCACCACAGGAAGCTGTTTAAATATAAAAAAATACAAACACCCTGGAGAGAGAGAAAAGGAGGGAGGAGGAGGGGGCGATGTACAACAAGAACACATTTTTTATATCATTTCACTCATCCCTAAATGTTTACAGACTGCTCAGCTCCAGGACCAAAGGCGATGCCCTTTGCGCTGAGATGATGTGATATGGAACTAGCTAATTACTGATGGCATTTGTGAGACTGGGGTGATGGATCCCTGTGTCCCTGTCATGATGATGTCCAACAGGACCATATCAGGCCTGCCAGACTGCAGCCACAGAGGCTGCTAAGGTAGGGTTGGTGTCTGGCAACTTATTCCCTCTAATAGTGCACTACTTCCTCATGGGCCCTGATCAAAAGTAGTGCACTAAATGCCATTTAGGATGCAGATTATGCAGACTAGAACCCCATTAGGAAAGCTACTATATGAAAGCATGGCTCATCATTAGATTAAACACTCTACCACCCACCCAGGCTGTCTTCCCTGTCTCTGTCTGTCTGTCCAGCAGCATGCCACCCTGCAGACAAACAAACCCCACAGCAGCCAACAGACGTCCAGGCCCACAGACTCACACTGATGAGACTAATCAAAGGGAAAAGCCAGTGGCGGGAGAGAGATGAGGATGGATGGAGGGGCAGATGGGGTGGAGGGGTATGTCAGACTGGCTGTCAGCCCCCTCTGGGCTCTGCTGGCTCCAGCTCATCTCCTATCCTCCTCTTGTCTTAAACCATGGTGTCAGTGAGCTAAAAGAGAGGACACCTTCTCACCAGGGGTCAACTGTTGCTATGAACACAATCAGCCTGGCTGTCCTCCGGCCTACAGGTCACATGCTGTTACGAACACAATTACAGCCTCAGGAGGGAGAGGAATGAGGGATGGAGGAGAGGTCTGGTAGTGCCAGTTGGACCAATCATTGAGTCACTGCCATGGGTTAAGGGGGGTTAAAGCCTCTGACGTTTATAGAAAGAAGCTGGGTAATACACATCTATGCCTCAGGGGGGAGAGATGGCGGGAGGGAGGGAACGGTCTAGTCGCGTCATGTTAGAAAATAAATCAGCCCATGTTTCCAATTTGCCCATTGTGTCTCCCCAAAAGACCATAGAATGATAACAGAAGTAGCCAGAGATGTAGTACTCTTCCTTGTTCTCCTGCAATGAGTGAGGTAAACTGGCGACGTCTGACATACACTGAGACTTATTTTATTCCCTCTTATTCTAATATCGTACGGACGTTAGTATTCCAATACTAGTGTGAGTATTCATTTTTGCTAGCTAGCTTCTCTAGGCCACTCCAGTCAAGATAGGCACTGTTATATGGGATAATAAAGAACATTGTGGCTGCTACAAGTTAGGTATTCTTGGCTGTAGACGAGTAGCGTCTCTCTCTCTGCCTCCGTCTGCTCCTATCCTACCGGAAACTCCACAGCTGCAGCAATAGCGCACCAGCCTCTCCCCTCACACAGCATTCATCTGGTTAAAAAGGTAATCCGACAAAATTACATAATACTATTCAAATAGTGAAATTATTTCCAACCCCCATCCCTATACTACATCAGTTAAAACTTGAGAGGGATTAATCAAAAGCCTTCTCTCCGGGGACATAGGTGTAGAAAAAAAAAAAAAAAACTTTCTGAGCTGGACAGGGAGAGGGGATATGAGACAGATTGATCTACAGCATGACTGTCAAACATACGGCCATCGGGCCAGATCCAGCCCACGAGGGGGTCCAATCCGGCCCGCGGATGGGGAAACAAACTCAATATACTTTTGATGACTAAAACCAAATCGAACTGTGTAGAAATGATAAAGGACCTATATTCATAGTTTCTTGGCTATCTAGCTTGCTAATAATCACTGTGCACAGTCAATGGACCTACATTCATACAGTTTCTTAACTGTCCTGCTCACTAATAATCACTAGACAGTCAGGGAGCATCGAACATTACAAACACGATGGATAGAGGACTAATTTGGGCAAATTTTTACGGCAAGGAAATATAACCAATATTCAATGTGCCCTCTGGACCTCGTTGAAGTCTGAATGCGACCCCCGGGGCAAAATTAGTTAGACTCGACACCCCTGATCTAGAGTGTGTAGTGTCACAGGGGCTCTCTCTGCTCTCTCCCCAGAGATTGAGGCTCACATCTGGGCAAGAGGAGCAGACAGGAGGTGGGTGGCTGGAGCCTTGTGACAGGAGGGATCAGAGACTATGATAGATGACACAACGTCATGTCGGTCTACCTGACTCTACAGGGAGCTGTTTCATAAAGATGAGCACTGAGCGCCGGGGAGGGTAAGTGCAGATAAGTGTGTGTGTGTGTGTGTGTGTGTGTGTGTGTGTGTGTGTGTGTGTGTGTGTGTGTGCATGAGGGGGAGTGTATTGCCAGTGAGAAAGCTGCAGGTTCTTCACTCTACCATATAATTAAATCAACACACATCATTTAAGTGTACCTGTCCATGCATACACACCGGCTTCTAAAGAGGTACCTACGTACATATCAGCCACTGAGCACTATAATCCACACACACATCCTCTCAACCGGTGGACAGCAGTCCATTAGAGTATGTGTTTGAATGTTGTTGTCCTGTTATGGAGGATGTTATTATATGTGATCTCTCAATGCCGTTCCAGAAGGGATAAACAAAGTCGAAGGAATGGAATAAAAAGGAGTAGAGTAGACTAGAGTAGAACAGAATAGAATAGAACAAAATCTAGGTTTGGGTTTAGACCCGTTCAGCCCTCCTAACTCACCTGCACACTTGGTCCTGCTGACCAGGGGGGGTCCAGGCGCCCCTGTCCCTCCCTCCCCTGGCCGGGTCAGTAAAACACTGATACGGTACTCTGTGTCCGGCTCCAGATGCCACACCTTACAATAGAATAGAGTATAAACATGTTTTCTATATTTAGCAAAGACATGAATAGCATTTCATTCAACATTTATGTTTTTTTTTACTGTAACAGCAAAGTAATTCTGAGTTATTTAATAACAACTGTTTTTAAGAACCTGTAAAAATGCTGAACGACAAATGAACTTCCACGCGTACACACACACACGCACACAAACCTTATAGGTGAGCGAGCCCACACCGTGCGTCTCCGACCATGGTGATTGGCTGGCCCGGTACTCGATCTCGCGGCGGATCACGGGGCCATCCCCCACAATGGAGTTGGTGTTGAGCTGAATGATCAGGTAGGTGGGGCCAGCCCGGAGCAGCTGGGGGGGAGCGATGGGGGTGGGGGGGCACTGCCAGGGTGAAGGAAGGGGGATAGGGGAGAGTACAGTGTTTTACAGAGGAGTTGTGAGTGACTAAGTGAGTGCATGCAGGGGTGTAGTGGAGGGTTAAACAAAAGTAAAAGCCTTTTACACATGATATGATGATGATGTCATTTACAGTAGTAGACCCTTTTATCTAACACAGTGTACAGTTAACAAGATAACTGACACAATGCTATATAGTAGCACTGTCTACATACAGTCTGTCAACTCCTCATTTCTAACGATATATAATGATAGAAAAACAAATCTATGTAATCCGGCTCATTATAAAAACATCATCAGTTGCTGTCAAATGAACAGAGATACAAATGAAATCCAGTGATCCATAGTTGTATGGTTGTTTACCAGTGAGACTACAGTACATCATCACTTTATTCATTTTTACAGAACGCAAAAAAAAGACGTCAGAATTTCCACAAAATAAGCAATAACTCTCTTCTCTCGCAAAGAAAAGGCAAGTCAAGGTTTTTTTTTTATGTTTCATGCTTTTCTTGTTTTATAATTTCCCTAGCTTTTTTTCTGCTCGGCTAGAGCATTGCCTCACACAATCTTTTTAATCATTTTCAGATTGTGATTTCTGAGAGGCACTTGAAGGGAAGGGACACACACACACACACACACACACATTACAGCAGCATGTAGAGAGAAAAACACTGTTTACACAGAGTATACAACATATGTACATAGGTGAAAGATCGTTTCCACGTGTTTCCACAATAGAAAGTAGAAGAGAGAAGATATGAAAGAGGTTTTGCTAGTTCAGAACATATTTCCGATGTGTGTGTGCATTTTAACATTTTATGTGTGTGTGTCCCCATGTGATTGACTAAGTGTGCCAGTGCTTGTGTGCATGTCTCACATTAGGAGAAGCTGTTAGAAGTGGTTGTGTGAGGAAGGAGGTAGGACATATGGAGGAGGGCGTTTAGAGATCCCAGAATGGTATCTAGGTGTCATGGTGGGTTGGAGGTGTCATAGAGGAGGTGGTGTGTGGTGCAGAGTGCTACAGGACTTACTTCAATCAAAACCATGTGTGTGTGTGTGTGTGTATGTGTGTGTGTGTGTGTGTGTGTGTGTGTGTGTGTGTGTGTGTGTGTGTGTGTGTGTGTGTGTGTGTGTGTGTGTGTGTGTGTGTGTGTGTGTGTGTGTGTGTGTGTGTGTGTAAACAAAGACATAACATCGTCAATAGCCAGACAGGTTTCCATTGTGTACCAGACACATATTTACCATACTATGTTGTACACACTAAATAAACATGACTATTCGGACTGGCATTACTATACCTCTGACAATGAGCTCGGCGAAGTAGACACGGCAGCTACGCGGGTGGACCTTCTGTGAGCAGCGATAAGGTCATGCTCCCCCTCTCTCAGCTCCACCTGGAAGGTGGCAATGGACGCTTTGTGGCTCAGACGCTGGATAAAGGACGCCGCCACAACCACACCGTTTACGTACCGCAGTAGTGTGAGAAAGAGAGAGCCGAGAGAGAGAGAGAGAGAAAGAGGAGAGAGAGAGAGAGAGAGAGAGAGACTCCCTAGAGGAGAAAGAGAGAGAGAGAAAGGGGAGGGGAGGGGAGGGGAGAGGGAGGGGAGGGGAGGGGAGGGGAGGGGGAGGGAGGGGAGGGGAGGGGAGGGGAGTGGGAGGAGGGGAGGGAGGGAGGAGGAGAGAGGAGGGGGAGGGAGAGAGTTCACGCTAACTGACCCATACACAGGTGATCATGTTTACCATTGTAGCCACCACCTCTGTCACTGCCACCAAAAACACCCACAACACACAGTCACATAGAGAGAGAGAGTAAGGTCACCCTAACTAACCTACACAGACAGTTATGTTTATTATAATGTACACTACCGGTCAAAAGTTTTAGAACACCTACTCACCCCCACACCATAACACCTCCTCCTCCATGCTTTACGGTGGGAAATACACATGCGGAGATCATCAGTTGGAACCAAAAATCTCCAATTTGGACCAAAGGATAGATTCTCACTGGTCTAATGTCCCTTGCTTGTGTTTCTTGGCCCAAGCAAGTCTGTTCTTCTTATTGGTGTCCTTTAGTTGTGGTTTCTTTGCAGCAACTCGACCATGAAGGCCTGATTCATGCAGTCTCCTCTGAACAGTTGATGTTGAGATGTGAAACATTCATTTGGGCTGCAATTTCTGAGGCTGGTAACTGTAATGGACGCCGCCATAACCAGGTGGCGAATCGCATCTCTGCATGTCTGGCAGACATATCAGTATGGATGACGGATCACCACCTCAAGCTGAACCCTGGCAAGACGGAGCTGCTCTTCCTCCCGGGGAAGGACTGCCCGTTCCATGATCTCGCCATCACGGTTGACAACTCCGTTGTGTCCTCCTCCCAGAGTGCGAAGAGCCTTGGCGTGACCCTGGACAACACCCTGTCGTTCTCCGCTAACATCAAGGCGGTGACCCGATCCTGCAGGTTCATGCTCTACAACATTCGGAGAATACGACCCTGCCTTACACAGGAAGCGGCACAGGTCCTAATCCAGGCACTTGTCATCTCCCGTCTGGATTACTGCAACTCGCTGTTGGCTGGCCTCCCTGCCTGTGCCATTAAACCCCTACAACTCATCCAGAATGCCGCAGCCCGTCTGGTGTTCAACCTTCCCAAGTTCTCTCACGTCACCCCCCTCCTCCGCACACTCCACTGGCTTCCAGTTGAAGCTCGCATCCGTTACAAGACCATGGTGCTTGCCTATGGAGCAGTGAGGGGAACGGCACCTCCGTACCTTCGGGCTCTGATCAGTCCCTACACCCAAACGAGGGCATTGCGTTCATCCACCTCTGGCCTGCTGGCTCCCCTTCCTCTGCGGAAGCAGAGTTCCCGCTCAGCCCAGTCAAAACTGTTCGCTGCTCTGGCACCCCAATGGTGGAACAAGCTCCCTCACGACGCCAGGACAGCGGAGTCACTCACCACCTTCCGGAGACATTTGAAACCCCACCTCTTTAAGGAATACCTGGGATAGGATAAAGTAATCCTTCTACCCCCCCCAAAAAAAAAAAAAAAAAAAAAAAAAAGTGGATTTCCCACTGGCTATAGGGTGAATGCACCAATTTGTAAGTCGCTCTGGATAAGAGCGTCTGCTAAATGACGTAAATGTGCCCTTGAGCAAGGCACTTAACCCTAATTGCTCCTGTAAGTCGCTCTGGATAAGAGCGTCTGCTAAATGACTAAAATGTAAAAATGTAAATGTAATGAACGTATCCTCTGCAGCAGAAGTAACTCTGGGTCTTCCATTCCTGTGGCAGTCCTCATGAGAGCCAGTTTCATCATAGCGCTTGATGGTTTTTGTGACTGCACTTGAAGAAACGTTCAAAGTTCTTGAATTGACTGACCTTGCCATTATATGGACTTGGTCTTTTACCAAATATAGCTTTCTTCTGTATACCCCCTGTACCTTGTCACAGCACAACTGATTGGCTCAAATATATTAAGAAGGAAAGAAATTCCACAAATTAACTTTTAAGAAGGCACACCTGTTAATTGAAAGGCATTCCAGGTGACTACCTCATGAAGCTGGTTGAGAGAATGCCAAGAATGTGCAAAGCTGTCATCAAGGCAAACGGTGGCTATTTGAAGAATATCAAATATGAAATATATTTTGATTTCTTTAACAATTTTTTGGTTACTACATGATTCCATATGTGTTATTTCAGAGTTTTGATGTCTTCACTATTATTCTACAATGTAGAAAATTTTAAAAATAAAGAAAAACCCTTGAATGAGTAGGTGTTCTAAAACTTTTGACCGGTAGTGTATGTGTGGCCATGAGATATAGCCCTAAATAATGGGATTGTGAGTGGGAAGGAAGGAGAGAGCCAGGGAGAAAATGAGGGAGAGCTGAAGTACCGTTGGAGGTGGAGATAATAAATACATTATACAGTTGATGTCGGAAGTTTACATACACTTAGGTTGGAGTCATTAAAACTTGTTTTTCAACCACTCCACACATTTCTTGTTAACAAACTATAGTTTCGGCAAGTCGGTTAGGATCTACTTTGTGCATGACACAAGTAATTTTTCCAACAATTGTTTACAGACAGATTATTTCATTATAATTCACTGTATCACAATTCCAGTGGGTCAGAAGTTTACATACAGTAAGTTGACTGTGCCTTTAAACAGCTTGGGAAATTCCAGATGTAATGGCTTTAGAAGCTTCTGATAGGCTAATTGACATCATTTGAGTCAATTGGAGGTGTATCTGTGGATGTATCTCAAGGCCTACCTTCAAACTCAGTGCCTCTTTGCTTGACATCATGGGAAAATCAAAAGAAATCAGCCAAGACCTCTGAAAAAAAATTGTAGACCTCCACAAGTCTGGTTCATCATTGGGAGCAATTTCAAACGCCTGAAAGTACCACGTTCATCTGTACAAACAATAGTACGCAAGTATAAACACCATGGGACCACGCAGCCGTCATACTGTTCAGGAAGGAGACGTGTTCTGTCTCCTAGAGATGAACGTACTTTGGTGTGAAAAGCGCAAATCAATCCCAGAACAACAGCAAAGGACCTTGTGAAGATGCTGGAGGAAACAGGTACAAAATTATCTATATCCACAGTAAAACGAGTACTATATCGACATAACCAGAAAGGCCACTCAGCAAGGAAGAAGCCACTGCTCCAAAACCGCCATAAAAAAGCCAGGCTACGATTTGCAACTGCACATGGGGACAAAGATCGTACTTTTTGGAGAAATGTCCTTTGGTCTGATGAAACAAAAATTGAACTGTTTGGCCATAATGACCATCGTTATGCTTGGAGGAAAAAGTGGGTAGCTTGCAAGCCGAAGAACACCATCCCAACCGTGAAGCACGGGGGTGGCAACATCATGCTGTGGGGGTGCTTTGCTGCAGGAGGGATTGGTGCACTTCACAAAATAGATGTCATCATGAGGAAGGAAAATTATGTGAATATATTGAAGCAACATCTCAAGACATCAGTCAGGAAGTTAAAGCTTGGTCGCAAATGGGTCTTCCAAATGGACAATGACCCCAAGCATACTTCCAAAGTTGTGGCAAAATGGCTTAAGGACAACAAAGTCAAGGTATTTGTCACGACTTCCGCCGAGGCTGCCTCCCCTCCTTGTTCGGGCAGGCTTCGGCGTTCGTCGTCACCGGCTTACTAGCCACTGCCGCTCCATATATCATAATTCCATTTGTCTTGTCTCGTCAGTTACACACACACCTGGTTCATATCCCCTCATTAGTCCGTGTATTAGTGTTCCCTCTGCCCCCTTGTCCTTGTGGGTGATTGTTTTATGTGAGTTGAGTGTAGCTCGGTGGAGCTACTCGCACCTTGTATTTCCGGGGTAGATTATTCCCCTGTGCCTGTATTTTTTGGAGCTACCCGTACCTTGTATTGCCGGAGTAGATTGTTCCCCTGTGCCTGTATTTTGTTGTCGCTATCCAGCGCAACTGTGTTGACGGAATAAACTCTGTATTCTGTGATTTACCCTCCTGCGCCTGACTCCTTCTAATCACATTCATCACAGAATCACCCACCCGCTATGGAGTCAGCGCGAGAGGAGCGCATGCCTGGAGTCGTGTCACGGGTCAAGGAGCATTCCACGATGCTGGCCAGCTTGGGGGAAGCTGGAGAGGAGAGAATCCGATCTGTCGAGACCAGCTGGCCAACCGGATCAAGCCAACCACACCCCAGCACCCGGAGGGATCCAGATATCCCGACCACGGGAGTTCGACGGGACGGCGGCCAAGGATTCCTCCTCTAACTGGAGCTCTACTTCTCCAGCATCAGGCCGGCCCCATCGGAGCGGGAGAAGGTGTCCGTCCTCGTTTCCTGCCTCTCAGGGAAAGCCCTGGAGTGGGCCAACGTGGTTTGGAACGAAGGAGGAGCCGCGTTGGAGAACTACGGGGAATTCGCTCGCCTCTTTCGGGCTGTCTTCGATCACCCACCCGAAGGTCGAGAGGCGGGCGAGCGGCTGGTCCACCTGAGGCAGGGGACGAGGACCGTGCAGGACTTCGCTTTGGAGTTTCGGACTCTTGCAGCGGGGTCCCGGTGGAACGAGCGGGCCCTGATCGACCATTTCCGGTGCCATCTGCGGGAGGACGTCCGACGGGAGCTAGCCTGCCGGGACACCATGTTGTCCTTCACGCAACTGGTGGACATGGCCATCCGTTTGGACAACCTTCCCGCAGCCAGAGGACGTCCTTGAAGGGGATTGCCCGTTCCCACCCCGGCCGACTCGGATCCCAAGGTGATGGAGCTGGTTGGAGCCGCCGTCCGAGAGAGCGGAGGACGACAGCGACAGTGTCACTCGGGTGGCACGAAGGGAAAGTACACCACACGTGGTCGTCAACACTCTTTTGGGTCTGGAGGCGGCAGGCAGGGCACTCTCGCATCACCTCAGGTATCGGACACCCACACTCGTTCAGAGCCCTCTGCTGCACACTGTACCCTACCCATCTACTTTCCCGATCACATGGTAGTTCCCCAGTGTAAGGCGCTAGTCAATTCAGGCACAGCTGGGAACTTTATGGACAGGGCATTCTCATGCCGTCTAGGCATTTCATTGGTTCCCCTATCCATTCCACTCCCCATCAGAGCACTTGATAGTCGACCATTAGGGTCCGGGTTTGTTTAGGAAGTTACTGCACCAGTCACCATGATTACCCAGGAGACTCATTGTGAGCAGATTTTATTATTGAGTCTCCTGCTTTCCCTGTGGTATTAGGGATCCCTTGGTAGCACTCCACAACCCCACCTTCTCATGGTCGCAGAGGGTTCTCATGGGGTGGTCGCAAGAGTGTCAGGGTAGGTGTCTAGGTGTTTCCGTTGGTGCAACCACGGTGGAAAGTCCAGACAGTACCTCCACAATACGCATTCCCCCTGAATACCTCGATTTGGGGCACGCCTTCTCAAAAACGCAGGCTACCAAGTTACCACCTCATTGGCCGGGAGATTGCGCGATAAACCTCCGGGTAGACGCTGTACCTCCCAGGAGTCATGTGTACCCCCTGTCGCAAGCTGAAACGGAGGCTATGGAAACATCCGTCACCGAGTCCCTGTGCCAGGGGTATATACATCCCTCCACTTCACCAGCCTCCTCGAGTTTCTTCTTTGTGAAGAAGAAAGACGGCGGTCTGCTCCCTTGCATTTATTACACTGAACAAGGAGACGATGAGATTTAGTTATCCTCTCCCCCTCATTCCTTCAGTGATTGAGTCAATGCATGGGGTGCGCTTCTTTCCAAATTAGATCTCAGGAGTGTGTACAGCCTGGTGGGTATCCGAGAGGGGGATGAGTGGAAGACAGCATTCAGCACAACTACGGGGCATTATGAATACCTGGTGATGCCCTACGGTTTGATGAATGCTCCATCCGTCTTCCAGTCCTTTGTGAACGAGGTGTTTTGGGACATGCTTGGTCACGGTGTAGTGGTCTACATCGATGACATCCTGGTGTATTCCGCTACGCGCACCGAGCATGTGTCCCTGGTTCGCAAAGTGCTGGCCCGACTGTTGGAAAATGACCTCTAGGCCAAGGCAGAGAAGTGTATGTTTTTCCATTAGTCCGTCTCCTTCTTTGGATACCGCATTACCAACTCAGGTGTGAAGATGGAGGGAGATCGCATTTCAGCCGTGCGTAATTGGCCAACTCCAACCACGGTTAAGGAGGTGCAGCGCTTCCTTGGCCTCGCCAACTACTATCAGAGGTTTATCCGGGGCTTTGGCAAGGTCGCAGCTCCCATTACAGCCCTGTTGAAGGGTGGGCCGTCCCGGCTCCGCTGGTCTGCTGAGGCTGACCTGTTCACCTCAGCCCCGGTACTGGCCCACCCCGATCCATCACTACCGCTCGTAGTGGAGGTGGATGTGTCCGAGGTAGGGATAGGCGCTGTCCTGTCTCAACGCTCGGGCACGCCACCCAAGCTCCGCCCCTGTGCCTTCTTCTCTAAGAAGCTCAGCCCGGCGGAGCAGAACTACGACGTTGGTGATCGGGAGCTATTGGCTGTTGTCCGAGCCTTGACTGTGTGGAGGCATTGGCTCAAAGGGGCGAAACACCCTTTCCTCATCTGGACGGACCACTGTAACCTGGAGTACATTCGGGCAGCGAGGAGGCTGAATCCTCACCAGGCCAGGTGGGCCCTATTCTTCACCCGGTTCGATTTTACTCTGTCATACATCCCGGGTATGAAGAATGTGAAGGCAGACGCATTGTCATGGCTGTATGACACAGAGTAGAGGCCCAGAGACAACACCCCCATACTCCCGGCCTCCTGCATTGTGGCGCCGGTAGTATGGGCGATGGACGCGGATATAGAGCAGGCATTACGCTAAGATCCATCTCCACCTCAGTGTCCAGCTGGGCTGCGGTACGTGCCTGCTCTTATCCGTGATCGTCTGATCTACTGGGCACACTCGTCACCCTCCTCTGGTCACCCAGGTATCGGTCGTACAGTGCGCTGCCTGACTAGTAGTGGTGGCCTACCTTGGCTAAGGACATGAGGGTGTATGTCTCCTACTGCTCAGTGTGTTCCCAGTGTAAGGGGCTGCCTCTCCTCCTTGTTCGAGCAGGCTTTGGTGTTCATCGTCACCGGCTTACTAGCCACTGCCGCTCCATATATCATCATTCCATTTGTCTTGTCTTGTCAATTACACACACACCTGGTTCATATCCCTCATTAGTCTGTGTATAAGTGTTCCCTCTGCCCCCTTGTCCTTGTGGGTGATTGTTTTATGTGAGTTGAGTGTAGCTTGGTGGAGCTACTCGCACCTTGTATTGCCGGGGTAGATTATTCCCCTGTGCCTGTATTTTTTGGAGCTACCCGTACCTTGTATTGCCGGGGTAGATTGTTCCCCTGTGCCTGTATTTTCTTGTCGCTATCCAGCGCAACTGTGTTGACGGAATAAACTCTGTATTCTGTGATTTACCCTCCTGCGCCTGACTCCTTCTAATCACACTCATCACAGTATTGGAGTGGCCATCACAAGGCCCTGACCTCAATCCTATAGAAAATGTGTTGGCAGAACTGCAAAAGTGTGTGCGAGCAAGGAGGCCTAGAAACCTGACTCAGTTACACCAGCTCTGTCAGGAGGAATGGGCCAAAATTCACCCAACTTATTGTGGGAAGCTTGTGGAAGGCTACCCGAAATGTTTGACCCAAGTTAAACAATTTAAAGGCAATGATACCAAATACTTATTGAGCGTATGTAAACTTCTGACCCACTGGGAATGTGATGAAAGAAATAAAAGCTAAAATAAATAATTCTCTCTATTATTATTCTGACATTTCATATTCTTAAAATAAAGTGGTGATCCTAACTGACCTAAAACAGGGAATTTTTAATAGGATTAAATGTCAGGAATTGTGAAAAACTGAGTTTAAATGTATTTGGCTAAGGTGTATGTAAACTTCCGACTTCAACTGTATATGTTACAGCTAACATGTCACGGTGAGGTTGCATGGCGGGCTGCTGACAGAGCTGCCACACTCATACATGCATGCACGCAGACAACCCGTAGTTATATGTGATCGCTCGAGGCACATGAGCGCTCGGATCATCGAGGGGGACAGGAAATCACAACCTGTCACCTGTCACACACACACACACACACAAAGCGTTACGTTTTTCCAGGTGTAGAAGGCTATATGCTGCTCTGCTCTCAGAATAATGTAGGCAGGATGTTATTTAAGATAGCCCCTGTCGAAGTGGCGTTGTGAATTGGAGTTGTGAATTGGTTTTTCAGGGGGGGAGGGGGGGAGCAGGAAACGTTTGCTTAAAAGTAAGAAACTGGTAATGGGAGCAACAGCATAAATGTATAGATTATTGCCTCAGTGTCAATGTTAGTGGTTGTGAAAAGTATTTTCTGAATTATTGGGTTATTCATTTCCATAAGCCAATAGCTTGTTGGATCACATTTTCATAACCGTAGGTTATTGTATGCACAGACACAGGTGTATGTGTGTGTGTGTGTGTGTGTGTGTGTGTGTGTGTGTGTGTGTGTGTGTGTGTGTGTGTGTGCAGTTGTGTGTGTGTGTGTGTACGTGTATGTGTGATTCTTCAGTTAGGGGAAGAGAGAGGGAGAGAAGGAAGACAGACAGGTTTAAGACTGTATGTTTAATTTGTATGACAAGCTGTAGGATTGTCTGTTTGTTTTGACTGAATGAATGTACATTGAGATGTGATTTCATTCATTCAGTCAAAACAAACAGACAATCCTACAGCTTGTCATACAAATTAAACATACAGTATTAAACCTGTCTGTCTTCCTTCTCTCCCTCTCTCTTCCCCTAACTCCCATATCATACCTTAATTATGAGTTTCCGTGGTAATTAATTAATTCAGGATTCCAACTGAACACAAACAAATGTTGACATTGTCTAAAGATCTAAACAGAATCAGAAACAGAACAAGTAAAACTCTCTGATAGAAAGACAAAATAAGGAAATAAAGCAATTACTGTTGAGGAGAGTAAGAGAGAGAAACACGCGCATGCACACACACACATACACACACATACATACATACACACACACACACACATACACACACACACACACACACACACACACACACACAAATACACACACAATTACAGTTGAGGGGAGAAAAACAGACAAACATTGTGTTAAGAATGAAACAGTACACAGCTAATAGATGAACAGAAGACAATAAAGGGTTGGGGAAAAATATTGTTTTTCCCTGCTGTTACCAATACTTTTCCCCTTCACCTTTTTTAACCTTACTGAGTAAAGTGGGTTAGAGTCAGAGCAACATTGGAATCTGGTTTGAACTGGGAGACAATGTATGGCTCAGTTCACCATATGTGTATTGTGTGCAACATGTGTTCAATCCAATATGGGTGATATGAGTCATAATGCTGTCATGCATCCTTGTAGAAGAGATGCATTTCAACCAGTGGTGGCTCATCCATTAGGGCGTTAGGGGCAGTGCCCCACTTGTTATTGGTAAAAATAAAACATTTTGAGGGGGGGATTTTTCTCCAAAATATACAATACCAGTAAAAAGTTTGCACACACCTACAGTCGTGGTCAAACGTTTTGAGAATGACACAAGTATTGGTCTTCACAAAGTTCGCTGATTCAGTGTTATGAGATACACTCTTGGCATTCTCTCATCCAGCTTCATGAGGTAGTCACCTGGAATGCATTTCAATTAACAGGTGTGCCTTCTTAAAAGTTAATTTGTGTAATTTCTTTCCTTCTTAATGCATTTGAGCCAATCAGTTGTGTTGTGACAAGGTAAAAGGGGGGGTATACAGAAGATAGCCCTATTTCCATATGTGTTATTTCATAGTTTTGATGTCTTCACTATTATTCTACAATGTAAAAATATAGAAAAACCTTTGAATGAGTAGGTGTGTCCAAACTTTTGACTGGTAGTGTATAATTCAAGAATTATGTTTAAAATGTCCATAAAAGTATGGTTAATTTGTGTACATTTTACTGTTCAAAATGATATTGTTCAAAGCAAGCTGTTCAGTTAACTACTGCTCTACCATCAGCAGCTCCGTGTGTTCAGCCTGCCGCCCAGGCTTGGATTGTATTGCCAGCTATTACATTGCTTGCTATTGGGGGCGACTGCAGCAATGAGATTGCAGGATTTCATCACATGATTTTCACACCACAAAGTAAATGGAACACCCTGGGGTGCTGAATTGCACAGGTCTTCTGGGTCTGCTCCATCAGGTACTAAACAGATAGCGCTAAAGAGCAAATTGCAATGAACTTGCAAATAAATATTAATGAGGGTCATTGGGAGCCTGGGACCTGAACCAGACATCCACACCCATCACCGGTCAAAGGACATAGGGATACACTAGCTAAAACCTTCTCACGGATAGGTAGGACCGAAAAAACATTTGCAACACTGCCATTAGGTGCTAGCTAGTGGATGCTAGCTACCGGCAAGCTGCTTGTTGTGTTTACCCTGTGCTTGTGTCACCAATGCACTCAGGAGCTGGCTGCACACTGCTCGTTCTAAAAATATTACTTTTTGTAATCAAAACAGTGGCAGCATGTGCAGCAGTGGTGAGTGTTTTTACATGCAAAAGTGAAATAGGTGTATCTGACCCCCCCCCCCCACCAAACAGTGTGTGTGTGTGTGTGTGTGTGTGTGTGTGTGTGTGTGTGTGTGTGTGTGTGTGTGTGTGTGTGTGTGTGTGTGTATGTGTATGTGTGTGTGTGTGTGTGTGTGTGTGTGTGTGTGTGTGTGTGTGTGTGTGTGTGTGTGTGTGTGGGCTTGGTTGTGCATGTGATACTGTGTGTGTATGTCTGTGTCAGGATTAAAATTGTAGGTTTTTGAACTCTTGAAAGAGCAGAGGCTCTGGATACAAAATACTTCAATACAAAAGAAAGAAAGAGAGGAGAGGAGATGGAAAGAAAACAGAGGAAAGCGTCTCCTTCCCTCTTTCCCTCCTTCCCTCCTTCCCTCATCTAACTTTTAAATGGCACTTAGCTTCAAGTATGCAGAGAGAGAGTGGAGGCTTTCAGACCGAGGTTTCAGATAACTAATATTAGCTCAAATTCATGCAGCAGAAATGTAAACCATTTTGAGTTATGAGAGATTACTTAATGGAGGAATATGAGTAACTATCAGCTAGCAAATCAAAAGGTCACACAAACAGCTGATGCCATTAGTTAGTAATAGTAGTTAGTTATAGCTAGTCTGTATGCAGGGACTTGGCACTCTGTGTTTGATGATGTCATACTGCTGGGTCTATCTTTAATTCACTGAAGCACTCGTATATATATCAGACCTCATAAAAATAATAGTGCACTTCTATGCATTTATAAAGCTGGAATCCTTAATGGTGAAACAGCCACGTCCATTTGCGATATTCCAACAACAAATAAGTAACTGTAAACAACATTGCACGCGTGATAGAATAGCAGCATATGTACTGCAAATGTTTTTCCCACGCTGCGCAACGCTCCCCACTCTGCTTCGTCAACAAAACAAAAACAATAACAACAGCCGTGGGGCGGACAGTGGCACTGTTTCCCCTGATGAGGATTCCATCTTTAAGCCCGAAGAAGTGCAAGGGACTTGGGCCCCAGGGCAATCAGTCTGTCTGTACTCTCTCCTACAGCAGTCTGTACTCTCTCCTACAGCAGTCTGTACTCTCTCCTACAGCAGTCTGTACTCTCTCCTACAGCAGTCTGTACTCTCTCCTACAGCAGTCTGTACTCTCTCCTCCATCAGTCTGTACTCTATCCTACAGCAGTATGTACTCTCTCCTACAGCAGTCTGTACTCTCTCCTACAGCAGTCTGTACTCTCTCCTCCATCAGTCTGTACTCTATCCTACAGCAGTCTGTACTCTCTCCTACAGCAGTCTGTCCTCTCTCCTACAGCAGTCTGTACTCTCTCCTACAGCAGTCTGTACTCTCTCCTCCATCAGTCTGTACTCTCTCCTCCAGCAGGAACGTCTCTGTTTTTGTGGTCTTGTCGGTGGTCACGCCAGCAAGCACACACACACACTCCTCCATCCTTACCTCCAGTAGGAAGGGTTCTGTCTCTGTAGTTTTGCCCGTGGCGACACACTGGAAGGTGGCATTCTGCCCTGCATTGACCTCCACATCCCCCAGCCGAGAGAAGTGGGGAACCTTGTCTGTAGAGAGAGAGAGAGCGAGAGAGAGAGAGAGAGAGAGAGAGAGAGAGAGAGAGAGAGAGAGAGAGAGAGAGAGAGAGAGAGAGAGAGAGAGAGAGAGAGAGATCCTCTGTGATACTGATGCACTGACAGTTCATTATTATCATATGAATACACACGCATGCATTAGGAACACATTCAACACATACACACACACACACACACACACACAGAGAGAGGACGAGAACATCAGTGCAGCACAGCTTTCCCAGCCATGCCTGTGGGCTGTGACTTCACGAAGACAGGCTGCTCAACCAAACATAGTTTCTCCTCTCAGAGTTCTACAGTATGTGAGAAGACTTTCTCTCCCTGTGCACAGACATCAGTAGGCCTGCAGTGCAACTGTAAGCATTACTCTTATGGAAGTACACTTATAAGAACAGCTATACATGTTTCCTTTCAGACAGTTGAGTTTTGTTTGACTATGAGCGCAATACACTCTACACTGAGAATAATGTGACGTGGCCCTGGTGGTGCCTCAGAGAGTACAGAGACGGACTGGTGAACAGATGAAACCCTGTCATAAAAACACACACTCGGGAGTGTATCCAGTGAAGACTCTTCCTTATCTTCTACTTATTTATCCAGCTCAAAGCCACTGGGTGTGTGTACAGTGTGTTCTGTCACTCAGTGGTAAGCAACCAGATACTTTCCCCCTTCACTTTTACTAGCTTTAGCTACTTTATTAGTTGTATTCAACATGGGACATAGTGAACATGAATCAACGTTGATATAAATGTGCCAGAATTAGCAACTGCATAAGGTTAGTTTACACCTGTTGTCCCTGGGCAGGTGGGGAATGACTTTAAAATAACAGCACAACTGAGAGTATTTGACGGTCCTTTCTTATCCTGCACAGAAAAGTGAGAGGACGATAGGAAGAGAGGAAAAGCGAGTGAGGAAAATAGGAAAACATGAAGAGAGGAAGAGAAGAGGAGAGGAAGAGAGAGACATCTGTCCAGCTGTCCTCCGTACACCTGACACTCCTATCATGAGTCTCCATGGAAACAGACATCTGCCCACCTCTCTCATTTCTCTTCTCCTCTCTTCTCCTTTATTTCTCTCCAATAAGCGCATCGAGGGACAAGCTGTTGCTAAATTGATTTATGCACGTAGTCGGTAGTCTTTCAGAAAACACACACACACACGCTAGCTAGTTCAGTCTCTTGGTATGCAGGCCACATTATGCAAGTCACATTTTTATATCCAAACGAGCTTCAATTTGACAGAGATTTCGTTGGACTGTAACACGTGTTTGGAATAATGATAGTGACTCAGGAGAAAATAACAGAAATGTCAAGCATGTTGGAATGTGAATATAAGAGAGACTCGATTTGTATCTCCTGCGGGCCAAACAAGTTATTTCTGCTGCCGTAGGGGGCGTCGTGCCAGCTTGGAGTGTGTGTGTGTGTGTGTGTGTGTTTAAGAGGTTCCGTGGAGGGCCCTGACAGCCGCAGCATCTCCTAATGAGAGTGTTGATTATTTAATGGGGACGGCGGGGGCCAGGGAGATGACATCTGCATCAGCGCCAAGAGATGTACCCGTCACACACACATTATTCACACACAGAGGGCCCTGGCAACCACTCTAACTCAGCAACGGGTCCCATATCACCATGGAAATGCACACAGGCTGGCCGACATTCAGGTGACAGAGGCTAAGTGTTAAAAGTTTAAGATGAGTTGAGCTTATCTTTGGTTGTTTTGGAGAAGGTTTATGGAGAGAGAGAGAGAGAGAGAGAGAGAGAGAGAGAGAGATGAACTTGTGAAAGATTTATAAGGGTCTGGCTGTTTTTTTTTACAGGCGGTAAAAGCTATCTGAATTTCATGAGCTCATTAACGGCCTCCATTATCAGTCATTAACATTTCCTCCCGGCCCGCAGTTTCTGCTGCACTGAAGGAGGGAGGTTTTACTGGGGAATTATCTCAAAGTAACACCATGGTGTATCAGACTGCTGTGGGAGAGACAAAGAGGGTCCACTATAGAGGCAGTCGGTCAGTTTTAGAGAAGCAAGGGGGTTGTGGGGTTGAGGGGTGTTTGCACTGAGAGCTAAGGGAGGGTGGTGGGGGGGATTGCACTAAGAGGGAGGGGGTTAGCTATAATGGGGAAATATCTAAGAGCATCACCATATGGCATTATGGTCTAGCTAGAGACCTCAGACGACTGCTGCTCTCGTCTCGCCTTGGTGGAGAGGAAAAAAAAAAAAAACATGCGACGAGAGTCCTTTCACCCGTTCACCTGCTGCCCGCTTTTTTCTTGGAACAGTGTGTGTGTGTGTGTGCGTGTGTGTGATGTGTGTGTGTGTTTCCTGGAACAGTACATTCGCTCTGGGAGAGTGGGCTCATCTTGGTGACCGGGAGAGTGGCGAGTGGAGCGACGTGCTGAGCAGTCAGGAAGATAAAGGTCACCAGCTCGATGTCTGTTCGACCTGGACAAAAGGAGCGGCGTTGTGCAGCCGTGACCATGGGAAATCAGACAGGTGTCCACATGCCAGAAGCCTCTCAGAACCGTCTCTGGCTTTGAGAGCAGTACCTTCACCTCCGCTGGATACTTTACAGGCCTCTGTCAGTGTCTGTCCACCCACCCATCATAGTCCTGAGACTTTGTCTGTCTGTCCACCCCTGAGCGCCCAGACACGCATTTTCCCATTTCTTTGATAAAGGTTACTGGCTCTGTGCTCTGTTCTGAAGTACAATGGTACATCTGTGCTTTGGTGCCTTGGTGCATTGATACAGTGCATTGGCGATAGATTGGTTAGTGGTGTGCTGGGTTTGCTATGTTGTTGTGTTGGGGCAGTGTTTTCTGGGCTGATATACATTGGGACGCTGGTGCTGTACTGTGGTGGGTAGCTACTTACAGCAGGGGTAATTGAGCAGCAGGATGTCGTCAATGGCGATGTAGCCTCGCCGTTCTGCTGAGACGGATGCTTCAAACACCACCTGAGGAGAGACAACCAAGAGAGATTAGAGGAGGACAGGAGAGACAATGGAGAGATGAGAGGAGGACAGGAGAGACAATGGAGAGATGAGAGGAGAACAGGAGAAACAGCGGAGAGATGAAAGGAGGACAGAAGAGACAATGGAGAGATGAGAGGAGAACAGGAGAGACAATGGAGAGATGAAAGGAGGAAGGAAGAAAGGATTTCACGTTAGGGAGAGAGAGAGGGAAGTCCTATTCAAAGAGCTTGAATCCACTGAGGCCTGTCTGGTGGCGATTCTCTCTGCTCAAACATCCATAGTTTAGCATAGCCCCATAGGACAGACTTGTTTCCACAGTCATCTCTCTCTCTCTCTCTCTCTCTCTCTCTCTCTCTCTCCCTCCCTTTCACTCCCTCTCTTTCAAACAGACATCTTTCTTCATCAGAGAACACACACAGAACACTGGACCCACAGGAGTCATTGAGTACTACCCAAGTATCTACTCACTCATCTTAATGAATCTAGCATCATGCTGAGAAACCAAAGTGAATCCCAGATCTCTCCCACAGAGAACCAAAGTGTGTCTGGGCCTCTGAAAAATCATTACTGCCACAATAACCCATATCGTTTACTGAGGGACAATTTACTATTTTACAGCAGAGGCACAACAAATAAATAAACGACGCATTGACATGGGGTTTACTGCATTCATAGATTCCAGACTTTAAATAGCACTTTACTTTCAAGTAATTTAGCTGGGTTTGATTGAGCTTTTCTGGCACAATGGAACCAATGGAATAGTCACTGACAGCCACACAGTTAAAAGCTCTGCCAATGATCCTAAAAGCTCATCAGAGGTGTAGATAATAGTTAATGTGTTTCACCCACTCACACAGACAATAACACGTTAGCTGTGACAGAAACCAGCAGACTCTTGATAGTTCACGCACTCGATGGGCCCTGGTCAAAAGTAGGATGTCCTTTGGGAAGCAGCCCCGGTGTGTTGCCGTGTTGACAATACATCAGGCTCTAAGTGCCTGGTCTGGATCGATGGAACCACACAAGGCCTCCACAGATGGATACAGGCCTCGCATCCCTGTCTGCTAATTTCTTACTATTCTTCATTCTTATGTATGGGCCATTAGAGAAGTCCAGACGATCAACTTCTCCATTCATCAGCCGCTGACGCACACCGACGAGCACACACACACGCACAAATATGCACAAACACACACCGCGACACACCCGGCCATCGATTCACTCGCTCAGCACTGCACAGAGCCTTGACCCTCCCTCATTATAACTATCAGCATCTGGCGATACTCAGAGGAGGAAGGGAAAGAGAGACAGCAGAGAGAGAGAGAGAGAGAGAGAGAGAGAGAGAGAGAGAGAGAGAGAGAGAGAGAGAGAGAGAGAGAGAGAGAGAGAGAGAGAGAGAGAGAGAGAGAGAGAGAGAGAGAGAGAGAGAGAGAGAGAGAGAGAGAGAGAGAGAGAGAGAGAGAGAGAGAGAGAGTGTGTGCATTCAGTCACACACATCTGAGAGAGGAATAGACACAACAACATCAGCAACAACCAGGCTCTAAGTGTATTAATAGAACTGTGATCTTTGTCTCTCTGGAGGGGAAAGTAATCTTTCTGATTGGATTGTATAGAGCACCATAGAAGTAAAGCACTTTGGGAATGAATGTACTTGGAAGAGTACAGGAGAAGGGATGGGTAAAAGATGGACTGGTGGTCATGCAGATAGAGAGAGAGAGAAAGGGAGGGGGTGGAGAAATAGAAATTGACAGAGCCAGGTGAGGGAGAAGGGGAGAGAGAGATGAAGGAGAAGGAGATGTAGAGAAAGAGAGGGAGAGGGGAAGGGGGAGAGGGAGAAAGAAATAGAGAGCTTCCCTCTCCCCCTGGCTGCTACAGCACCAGTTCAGTTCATCTCATAAAACTCAATTGGGCAGAATTACACACTTCTGCATGCTGCATCCCTGGCCTGTTACCTTCCCTGTCCTCAAAGGGAATACATACAATTAGCTGGCTGGCTGGCTGGTTGTCTGACTGTCTGGCTCGCTGGTAGGCTGGCTGGCTGGCTGGCTGGTTTGTTGATTGGCTGGCTGGTTTGTTGGCTGGCTGGCTGGCTGGCTGGCTGGCTGGCTGGCTGGCTAGGTGGCTGACTGGCTGGCTGGCTGGTTTGTCGGCTGACTTGCTGACTGGATTGCAATAAAGAGAGGATTTGTTGGGTAATTAATATTTCTGGATTCTGGTTTTTCCTTTATATCGCTATGGGAGTTGTTATTTAATTGGAAGAGTACAGGAGGGGGGATGGGGAAAAGATGGATGGACTGCTGGTCATGCAGATAAAGAGAGAGAAAGGGACAGGGAAGAGAGATGAAGAGAGAGAAAGAAAGAGGGGGGGAAAGATTGAGAGAGAGAGACAGAGTGATAAAGAGTGGGAAGATGAAGGAGAAGGAGAGGTAGAGAAAGAGAGGGAGAGGGAGAGAAAGAGAGAGAGAGTGAGAGAGAGAGAGAGAGAGAGAGAGAGAGAGAGAGAGAGAGAGAGAGAGAGAGAGAGAGAGAGAGAGAGGGAGATGAAAAGGAGAGACAGATGAAAACGGAGAGAGGGTGTAGGCTAAGCTATATTGATATTGGCAGTCACGGTTGGCTTGATAGCATCGTAAATATTTGATAACAAAGTTCCCCCACATCTCCACTACCCACACCTGCAACACCATAATCTCCCATATCCACACAGGCAAAGAAGGGAACAATCTATCTATCGCTGCACACAACGTAAAGGGTGGATTTGTTCAAAGGAACAGAATCCTCATCAGTTCAGTCTTCCTGCTTTCTTTACCTGTTTCCTCTTGTTGCAACCAGGTAGAGCTACAAAGAGAAGGAGGTAGATAAAACACTTCCAAAAAACAACAGTGATGTGAAAATCAAGGCCAGCCTTCTTGAAACTAGTGGGGTGCTACTGCGCTGTGCCTGCTGCTGTATGTCTCTCAGGCTATAGAGGCATTTCATCATCCAAGCAGAGAGATGGGGGAAATAATAATACACACCAAACTCTGAATGTGGATCACAAAAACACTGCCTTCAGATACCGGGAGGAGGGAGGGAGGGAGGAGAAGGAGGAGGAGGCAGGAAGAGGAGGAGGAGGAGGAGGCAGGAAGAGGAGGAGGAGGAAGAGGGATAAAAGGCTAGTACACAGAGAATTAATGTGAAGCAACGTTGGCGGTTGGTTCGGGGGGTAAAAAAGAAAGAACATTCCCCTCATACATTTTAACATGAACTTCCCTCTCCCCCTGGCTGCTAAAGCACCAGTTCAGTTCATCTCATAAAACTCAATTGGGCAGAATTACACACTTCTCCATGCTGCATCTCTGCCCTGTTCCCTTCTGCGTCCTCAAAGGGAATACATACAATCAGCTGGCTGGCTGGTTTGTTGGCTGGCTGGTTTGTTGGTTGGCTGGCTGGCTAGCTGACTGGCTGGCCGACTGGCGATAAAGGATTGCAATAAAGAGAGGATTTGTTGGCTAATTAATATTTCTGGATTCTGGTTTTAAATTTTTATCGCTATGGGTGTTGTTATTTATGCTTTTAATTTGTACACCGACGGACTCCATCGATCCACACAAGTGGATTCAACAGCTTCAGAAACAGGAACGTGTTGTACAGTTATTGTCCACAATGTTCTGTTGATGGATTTGTTTTGGTTAATAAAGTGGAATGAGTGTCGAATGGTATTGACTGGTATTGACATTGTGGCAATACACAGTAATATATGACCTTTGATCCAGTGGACCTAGTTCATCTAGTAGGCTGAAGAAATGGGGACACACAACTACATGTAGCATATATGAGCATTATGCATGGTTGCACCATATTCTCAGTATGTGTGTATGTAGGTGTGCATCCGTGTGTCCGTACATGTGTGCCTGCATGCCTGTGTGTGCATAGTTGGCTTGGGTTGAGCAGTGAGCAATGGGGTGGCAGGTGAACTTTAGCACTTGGATATGACGGACGGAGAGGGATTGAGGGATGAAGGAGAAGAGAAGGAGATGTAGAGGAAGGGAGACAGAGTTGGAAAGAGATGAAGAGAATGTGAAAAGCAAAACGCACAGAATTAAGACCGAGAGATAAAGAGGAGTGCAGTACGGTTTGAGAAATGGAGAGAGAGAAAGTGCGAGAGAGTTCTCCTCCTTCCATCTCCTGGCTTGGTTCCATCCCCCTGTCTCTTTCAGCCTGCCCAGGACTGATTGCACCAAGAGCCATGAATATTCAGAGCTCAACCAGAGAGAGAGAGAGAGAGAGAGAGAGAGAGAGAGAGAGAGAGAGAGAGAGAGAGAGAGAGAGAGAGAGAGAGAGAGAGAGAGAGAGAGAGAGAGAGAGAGAGAGAGAAGAGACCGAGACAGCGGAGAGAGAGCACAAGGGAGAGGAGAGACAGAGAGAGAGAGATAGTTAGAGAGAAAGACAGAGACAGAGGCGAGAGAGCCCAAGAGAGAGGTGGGGAGAGGAGAGAGAGAGAGACAGACAGACAGAGATGTGGAGAGAGAGACAGAGACACTTCAGTCTGAGGGCCACTGTGATCACTCTCTGTCTTTATCCCTCTTTAGTCTTTAGTGCTGCTATGTCTATTGACTTTGTTCCCAAGCAGGATTTCACAAAAAGAGGAGGAGAACGTCTTGAGAGCTTCATATAATATTTTGATCGTGTTTGCTGCTACCTCTCCTTTTAAAAGATCAAAAGACTGGGACTGTTCACCTGCCACTGATACCAAAGTAACAAGCTTCTCACCTACACTGTAGTCGACAAGACACATCTGAATAGTCTACTATTGCTTGAGGCAGAGACAATGAATGGTAATGGCACTTCACTGACTGCTCTCCTCTTTATGATTGCTGTGGGGGGCTATAGCTAGCTCAGTCTCTGATCAATCTCCAGCTACAGAGCACGTAGTCTATCTCTCTCCTCCAGTTTGTGTCCTTCTGGCCCCTGGGGGCCTCTCAGGGATACCTGATCTCCATCTCAACACCCTCTCGCTCTCTCACTCCCTCTCCCTCTCTCTCTCGCCCTCTCTCTCTCTATCGATCTCTTGCTCTCCCCCTCTCTCTTTTAAAGCCCTGTGAAGCAGTCCCGTTCTCTGTTCTTCTCTCTCTCTCCTCTTTCTTCTCTCTTCTCTGTCTGTCTGTTCCTGGCTGTTTGTCAGGGTCCCGCGGGGCCGATCTGTTGGCTGGGACTGCTGGACAGTGATCCTTATCTGTGGGATTGGATGAATGGGCCCTCTGGGGCCTTCACTAGCACTTTGAGCCGTGACAGAGAGAGAAGAGAAAGGGAAAGGAAGACAGAGGGAGAGGGGGAAAGAGTAGAAGAGAGAGGGGGAGAGGACTAGAGGGGAGAAAGGGGGAGAGAGGAGAGAAAATGGGAGGCAGTGAGAGGCAGGCAGGCAGGCAGTGTGCCCCGCCCCAGGCTGTGTTCTATTCTATTCTGTTCTGTCCCCCTCTTCACAGTGCAGTCAGAGACACATCCCTGCAGGACAGGATTAAAACCCTGCACCAGTCATCCTCTCAGTCTTTTACCTGCCTCATTACCTGCAGCAGAACCTCTTACTGGTCTATGGGACCAACAAAGCGGGCTGTCCCGTGTCTCTCTGCGTACCCAGGGGGAAGACTTAAGACGTCACACCCACCCACAGGTCTTCATTTCCACTTATATAACACACCACACCCAGGCTGCTTCAGCGTACACACATATTATCAGGGTGGTAAATTGAACTGCTGTTTTCAGACAGAAGCAACAAACACAGTTCTACTTTCACCAAACCACCAGCCCAGGCAAAGCTTGATCAGATTGGATATTGGATACCAACACCCCCGTATCCCATATCCCCTTTCCCTTTAATGGTAACACACACACACACCCTCTTCCACCGTGTGAAAAAGGTGGGAGACTGTAGCGGTGGCGAGAGAACCTTTTGATGTTGTTGCAGAAGAGAGGATGAAAATCATTAACTCTTAATCACCTTGGGGTTGTGTTGTGTTGTTGGCGAGGCCTGGGACATCAGAGCTGAGGATACTGCCACACACACAGCATTGATCCACACCGGGGCCTAATCTCATTAAGGATGTGTTGATTTATTGAGACCAGGCTGGGACCAGGCTTGGAGCTCTGATAGGAGACCAAGGTTATGGAGGCAAACACTCCTCTACTGAGGGTCACGCGGAATTGAGGTCAATTGACTGTTCAGCCGACCCACACTCACCCCCACAATCCTTTACTGCTGCCATTGACACACAGGCACACAGACACACACAGCTACTGGCTTCTCGTTAAAGAGCGTTTTGGAGGAGGGCAAACGAGAGACGGCTAGAGGTATTAATCATAGGATTTAATGAGGCTGCCTCCAAATAGCCCACCACACACACACACACACACACACACACACACACACACACACAATAACCATAACAACACCATCAACTAAACACAGGGCAGAACAAAGAGATATTGATAACTCTGCTGCACTGGGGAACATTAAGCCATACAGGTAAACATACAACAAATACACTAATATACCACATTTATACTCCCATGTTGTCACTATGACATAGTGCAGCAGTGTTTCCCTACCCGGTCCTCTGGAACCAACTGGTAGTTTGCACATATTTGCTCTATTCCAGCAACAGATTAAACTAATCAAGGGCTTGATGTTTCCCAGCTAGCAAGCATGTGGTGGCCCACTAGCGGCCCGTCTCTGGCATAGTTTCTCAGCTGCAGTATAGAACATAGGTGCAACGGCTCTAAAAGCCAATGTTTTGTTCTTAATCAATCAACCAACCAGGTAGCCTAGTGGTTAAGCGCATTGGGCCAATAACTGCAATGTTGCTGGTTCTAATCCCTGAGCTGGCAAGGTGGAAGAATCTGCCATTCTGCCCTTGAGCAAGGCAGTTAACTCCAAACAACAACTGTGCCGAAGATGTTGATCAAGGCAGCCCCCAGCACCTCTCTGATTTAGAGGGGTTGGGTTAAATGCGGAAGACACATTTCGGTTGAATGCATTCAGTTGTGCAACTGACTAGGTATCCCTTTCAATCAACGATCAGTCAGTTAGCGCTCACCTGGTATTCACTGGGCCAGAAGGTGCTAACGGCTAGCTCCGCTTGGGCGGTATACTGTATACCAGAGTGTTTGGAAATAGCCACGAGATGGTTTGTCAATACAGTTGAAACTATTTATTTTAAGTTGTTCAATACATTTAAACATTTGTAGCTATTCTTTAAGTAAATACCTGCAGTCAACTTGTGCAATGCTTTAGGAGATAAATCAGATCGCATTCTTCATTTAACCTGTCACATTATTTAACATTATGAAGCTTAAGTAGATCTCCAGAACAGCTGAGCCAGTCACGTGTTTGTTTGTAAATAGCACAACGGGAGAAAGCGGGAGCAGGTGAGTCCAGCTGTGTATTGACAGGGGCCACATTTTATATCGAAAGTCAACCGTGTTTTTTTGCTTCAGTAGATTGTTCAGGGACGTGCAACTATAGTTTTCCTTCACAGAAAATACAGTAGTGCAACACATTCGGCAGAAAATAGATTCATTTTCATTCAAATGACAACAGAAGAGCAATGCTATTTGGCTGGCAGCCACACAAGTAAATGAGCTTACAATGAAAAACCAAGGCCTTTTTTTGCAAAAGCGATGCATGGCCATCATATTTCTAATGTTTAGGCCTATCATAGAAAGAATGTAAAATAGAGAGTAAAATAGGCTGGCTACACTGAGAAAAGTACCAGAGAAAAGTAGCTACTGTCACGATCGTTTACGGACGAGACGGACCAAAGCGCAGCGTGATATGCATTCATGTTTATTGACGACTAAACACACGACAGAACAACAAACGAAACGTGACGTCCAAGGTAGCATACACACAACAATACCTTACACGGAACAAGATCCCACAACTAACTGGTGCCAACAGGCTGCCTAAGTATGGTCCCCAATCAGAGACAACGAGCAACAGCTGCCTCTGATTGGGAACCACACAGGCCAACATAGATCTACCCATACTAGAATCTAACATTCAACATAGCCAAACCCAACACAGAAAATACACACCCTGACTCAACAAATACAAGTCCCTTGAGTCAGGGCGTGACAGTACCCCACCCCCCCCCCCCCCCCCCAAAGGTGCGGACTCCGACCGCGCCACATAAACCTAACAGGGTAGGGGCAGGGTGGGCATTCCGCCTCGGAGGCGGATCCGGCTCCGGGTGTGACCACCACTTACTCTCCACCTCCCCGTTGCGCCCCTGGTCTGGTCTGGACCTTGGCGCGCTGCTTCCTCTCTCCTTCCTCCCACGAAGTACCACTCCCTGTCTGGACCCTGGTGTGGGAGACCCCGAACCTGGAGAGGGGCTGACGTCTGGGTCTGGGGTGGAGCTGCTGACCGGAACTGGATCAGGCACCGGTGGAGCGGACTGCTCTGGCTCCGGAGTGGAGCCGCTGACCGGAGCTGGACTGGACCACGGTGGAGCGGATTGCTCTGGCTCCGGAGTGGAGCAGCTGACCGGTGCCGGACCAGGCACCGGTGGAACAGGCACGGAACGTGCCGGACTGGACACACGCACCACTGGCTTGGTGCGGGGAGCAGGAACGGGCCGGACTGGGCTGACGACGCGCACCCCTGGCTTGGTGCGGGGAGCAGGAACGGGACGGACTGGGCTGACGACGCGCACCACTGGCTTGGTGCGGGGAGCAGGAATGGGCCGTACCGGACTGGCGACGCGCACCACTGGCCTGGTGCGGGGAGCAGGAACGGGCCGGACTGGGCTGACGACGCGCACCACTGGCTTAGAGCGGGAATCAGGAACAGGCCGGACCGGGCTGGCGAGGCGCACCACTGGCTTGATGCGAGGAGCAGGAACGGGCCGGACCGGGCTGGCGATGCGCACCACTGGCTTAGTGCGGGAATCAGGAACGGGCCGGACTGGACTGACGACACGCACCACTTGATTGGTGCGAGGAGCGGGACTGGGTTCCTTCATTAACCCCCGCTCCTTCTGCTGCCTAACCAGCTCCTCTCGCCGTGCCTCTACACTTTCCTTCTGTTCCCTCTGAACCAATGACCCCCTTAATCTGGCGGCCTCCTCTGCTAAACGGCTGAACCGCTCTATCGCAGCCTCCTGCTGCCTCGTTGTCCATGGCGTGAGCCCCCCCGAAAAATGTTTTTGGGCTTGTCTCTCCACCGTCATCATGGCCTCCATCCCCCTTGCCAGACTCTCCCTCATCTCCTCCCAAGTCCATCCTCTCTCCTAGTCACGCTGCTTGATCCAGGATTGGTGGGATCTTCTGTCACGATCGTTTACGGACGAGACGGACCAAGGCGCAGCGTGAAATGCATTCATGTTTATTGACGACTAAACTCACGACAAAACAACAAACGAAACGTGAAGTCCAAGGTAGCATACACACAACAATACTTCACACGGAACAAGATCCCACAACTAACAGGTGGCAAAAGGCTGCCTAAGTATGGTCCCCAATCAGAGACAACGAGCAAAAGCTGCCTCTGATTGGGAACCACTCAGGCCAACATAGATCTATACATACTAGATCTAACCATAGAAAATCGACATAGCAAACACAACACAGAAAATACACACCCTGACTCAACAAATACAAGTCCTCAGATTCAGGGCGTGACAGTACCCCCCCCCCCCAAAGGTGCGGACTCCGACTGCGCCACATAAACATAACAGGGTAGGGGCCAGGTGGGCATTCCGCCTTGGAGGCGGATCCGGCTCCGGGCGTGACCACCACTTACTCTCCACCTCCCTGTTGCGCCCCTGGTCTGGTCTGGACCTCGGCGCGCTGCTTCCCCTCTCCTTCCTCCCACGACGTACCAAGCCCTGTCTGGACCCTGGTGTGGGAGACCCCGAACCTGGAGAGGGGCTGACGTCTGGGTCTGGACTATAACCACTGACTGGAGCTGGACACGACGGCGGTGGATCGAACCGCTCTGGCTCCGGAGTGGAGCCGCTGACCGGAGCTGGATCAGGCACCGGTGGAGCGGACGTCTCTGGCTCCGGAGTGGAGCCGCTGACCGGAGCTGGACTGGACCCCGGTGGAGCGGATTGCTCTGGCTCCGGAGGGGATCTGCTGACCGGAGTTGGACCTGACCCCGGTGGAGCGGATTGCTCTGGCTCCGGAGTGGAGCAGCTGACTGGTGCCAGACCAGGCACCGGTGGAACAGGCACGGGCCGTGCCGGACTGGACACACGCACCACTGGCTTGGTGCGGGGAGCAGGAACGGGCCGGACCGGGCTGATGACGCGCACCAGCGGCCCGGTGCGGGGAGCAGGAACGGGCCGCACCGGACTGGCGACGCGCATCACTGGCCTGGTGCGGGGAGCAGGAACAGGCCGGGCCGGGCTGGCGACGCGCACCACTGGCTTGGTGCGAGGGGCAGGAACAGGCCGGGCCGGGCTGGCGACACGCACCACTGGCTTGGTGCGGGGAGCAGGAACGGGCCGGACCGGGCTGATGACGCGCACCAGCGGCCCGGTGCGGGGAGCAGGAACGTGCCACACCGGACTGGCGACGCGCACCACTGGCCCGGTGCGGGGAGCAGGAACAGGCCGGGCCGGGTTGGCGACGCGCACCACTGGCTTGGTGCGAGGGGCAGGAACAGGCCGGGCCGGGCTGGCGACGCGCACCACTGGCTTGGTGCGAGGGACAGGAACGGGCCGGATCGGGCTGGCGACACGCAACACCGGTTTGGTGCGAGGGGCAGGAACAGGCCGGGCCGGGCTGGCGACGCGCACCACAGGTTTGGTGCGAGGAGCAGGAACAGGCCGGGCCGGGCTGGCGACGCGCACCACAGGATTGGTGCGAGGGTCAGGAACAGGCCGGACCGGGCTGGCGACGCGCACCACTGGCTTAGTGCCGGGAGCAGGAACGGGTCGGGCCGTACTGGGAACACGCACCACTGGCTTAGTGCGGGGAGCAGGAACGGGCCGGACCGTACTGGGAACACACACCACTGGCCTTGTGCGGGAAGCAGGAATGGGTCGGGCCGTACTGGGAACACGCACCACTGGCTTAGTGCGGGGATCAGGAACGGGCCGGACCGGACTGGCGACACGCACCACTTGCTTGGTGCGAGGAGCGGGACTGGGTTCCCTTATAAACCCCCGCTCCTTCTGCTGCCTAACCAGCTCCTCTCGCCGTGCCTCTACACTCTCCTTCGCCCCGTAACCTGGTGGCCTCCTCTCCTAACCTGCAGAATCGCCCTGTCGCTGCCTCCTGCTGCCTCGTCGTCCACACCGTGTGCCCCCCCAAAAAATGTTCTTGGGGTTGCCTCTCGGGTCTCCGTCGTCGGCACTGTTGGCGCCGTTCGTGTTGCCGCTGCTCCTCTCTATATCGCGCCTCCACTGTCTTCTCCCAAGGACGGCGATCCATCCCGGCCTGAATCTCCTCCCAAGTCCAGGATCCCTTCCCGTCCAGGATCTCCTCCCAGGTCCAGGCTGTCTGCTCCTGGACACGCTGCTTGGTCCTATTTTGGTGGGATCTTCTGTCACGGTCGTTTACGGACGAGACGGACCAAGGCGCAGCGTGATAAGCATACATGTTTATTAACGAATAAACAACACGACAAAAATAACAAACGAAACGTGAAGTCCAAGGTAGACAAATAACATACCTCAAACGGAACAAGATCCCACAACTAAGAGGTGCCAAAAGGCTGCCTAAGTATGGACCCCAATCAGAGACAACGAGCAACAGCTGCCTCTGATTGGGAACCACTCAGGCCAACATAGATCTATACATACTAGATCTAACCATAGAAAATCGACATAGCAAACACAACACAGAAAATACACACCCTGACTCAACAAATACAAGTCCTCAGAGTCAGGGCGTGACAGCTACACATCAGTCAGAGTGCTGTCTGCTGATAGAATGCCTGTTTGTGAATTCTCATCCGAGTTTAGAAGTGCAACTGAAGCACAAAATATGTCTGATGCCGAGCAGAAATTACAATAACAAGCATTTTAAATCTGTTTACGAAACGCAGCAAGATATTTCTTATGAGTTTTATATTTTTTCCTGCGGGAAAAACGCAGAATTCCCTAAGTTTAACTTGCTATATATGTAAGTGGCGGAATTAATAAGATGAAGGGGCATCATATAGTGTTAGTTTTCATCCGTGTTTGAGAAGTCAAAGCCCTTTGGATGAGTTATCTGTCCAGCTGCCATCTTGATTTCCTTGCGTTTTTTCTCCTCTCTGTTCTCCGCCTGTCTGCTCCTCCCCCCTCTTCTCCAAGCAAAGCAGGCAGGCCCGTTGCCCTAGCGACTCCAGACTCCACACAGACACGGTGTAGACATGCTGCTGGAGAGCCAGTACTGTACTTCCTTCAGACAAGCATGCGTCAAAACTTTGCTAATATCCACAATGTCTCTCGTTCACATTCACTTGTAAATGTCCAAACTCACCAAAAATGACATTTGGTAGCTCCTACCTATATATGTATAACTTTATGAGCTGGATTGCCTGTCTTTGCAATTTGTCTATTTTCGTTTGCGCTCGGTAGCATATTTGGCTAGCAGCCTCCATGGTAATTCGCTATTACGTGCTCATTTTGTTAGTATTCTGGTAATCGACGCCAATGGGCTTTTTTGCTATTTTTGGCACCACCTTGTGTACTAAGCCAGTAATACCGTAAATCCCGGGGTGAGAGAAGGACGGTATGACGATTTGAAAATCTGGATACCGCCCAACCCTAGCTCCACCTGGTGCCACTCACCCTAACCCTCACCTGGTTATAGAGCCATATTACTGTCAGTGTAGCATTAGCATAGCATTGTCTCTCCCCTGGTATTTGCTGGGCCAGAAGGTGCTAACAGCGTAGCATTAGACATAGAATTAGCATACTGTATGTGTTAACACAACAGATATATCATTAGCGCACACCTGGTATTCGCTGGGCCAGAATGTGCTGACGGCTAGCTCCACCTGGTGCCACTGGCGTCCGTGTGACCCGGAGACGTTCCAGACGGCGCTGCCCCGCGGCCCCCCATTGACCCGGATGTAGAGCTGCAGGTCCCCGGGGGAATGGCCGTCACGGCTGTACAGGAAGTAGCTGAACTGGATGCAGTGTGTGTCGTTCTCACTCAGCGAATGGAGGAGGAGGTGGGCCCGCTGCCCCGCGGCATGCTGGGACGAGTTCACCATCATGAACGACCCTGGGGGAGAGGAGGGAGGAGACAGGGTCAGATGGCTATAATGCAATTGCTGTCAACAGAGACGTGACTTGAAATCTCCTTCATGATTTAAGCAAAAGTCTGAGTTGAGGTAAGGCCTGAGCATGCATACTAAGTTAGGATTCATCCCTTTACCTTTTTCTGCTCTACCTCTGTCTCTACCACAGGCGGCCGGTGGCACCTTAATTGGAGAGGACGGGCTCATAATAATGGATTAAACGGAATAAATGTAATGGTATTGAATACATCAAACACATCGTTTCCATGTGTTTGATACCATTCCAGCCATTATTATGAGCAGTCCTCCCCTCAGAAGCCTCCTCTAGTCGCTACCTCTCTTTACTTCTCTCTTCCTCGGTCTTCCTCTCTCTCTGGCCCTCTAAGGGTTTCTTTGTCTGCCACAAGGCCTCAGATGTCCCCTGTTCAAAGCTCTGTGTGGTGGACAGACAGCAGGGCTGTAGCCTGTCGCCTAGCCATGACACGGGTGTCAAACAGACAACCTGACAAACAAAGACAGAGATTTGCCTTCACAGGTGTCCACACCTCAATGGATATGAGAGAGAGAGAGAGAGAGAGAGAGAGAGAGAGAGAGAGAGAGAGAGAGAGAGAGAGAGAGAGAGAGAGAGAGAAAGAGAGACACCAGTGAAAAAAAAAACAAACATTGTAAATACAACCTATATTCATGTTGATTTATTTTCCCTTTTGTACTTTAACTATTTGCAGATAATATGACATTTGAAATGTCTTTATTCTTTTGGAACTGTAATGTTTACTGTTAAATTTTTTTATAGTTTATTTTGTTTATGATCTATTTCACTTGCTTTGGCAATGTAAACATATGTTTCCCATGCCAATAAAGCCCTTCAATTGAAAGTGAATTCAGAGAGAGAGAGAGATCAACAGAAAGAGAAAACTAGTGATAGGGAGATGTCCATATTGATCGCACCAGATTGGACACAGTGTTCATGAAGGAATCACACCAGAGTATCATTCTAACCCTTCTAAACCTTTCTAATCCTCTAATAATGATCACTGGGTCACAGTATTCTATCCTGTTACCGAAGGAATCTTCTAAGTGCTTTAAAGACACGGCTGTAGTGTATTGTCTTTGGAAGGGCAGGTTGGGTAATGTAGTTGAATGAGTGTGTAATCAGGGACTCAATTCCCTGCCACTCCTACTACCATTAATCACACTGACACTGTTATTAGGCTGTAATGGCAACCTAGGGAATACTTTGAACACCAGAGATTACACACGCACACATGCACACACAAACACAAAGAGCGATGGGCTCAGGCCCAAATCCAGCTGACCTTCCTAGAAGTGAGAGCTCCCCTCCCTCCTTTCTCCTCCTTCTTTTCCCTCTCTTCTTCTCCTCCCTCTCTTCTTGGCAGGTAGAGTGATTAAGATACTACAGCTCCTTGGGGACCTTATCTCTCTCTTTGTCCCTGGCCTCAGCCTGGCGCTGGCTGCCTTCATAAGGAGGAGGAACAGCATGTGACCTGTCTCTATAGCTTCAGCACTGTGACCTCAACATGCCTTTCAGACAGGCTGCTTTTCCTCATTGCATTTCCTCATCACCTTGCCCTCGGGTTGCACAATTCCAGTAACTTTCCCAAAATGTAATGGTTTTCCAGGATTTCCTGCTTATTTCCTCCTGATTCTGGGAATCTTCCAACCAGGATTTCTGGAAAACCTGGAAATGTTGCCCATATCAGAGAAAAACAACACACAATAGAAGCTAACACAGACAAAAGCTGGTGCTGGTTCAATGAAACCCTGGTCTTGTCGGTTTGCTTTGCTTGCTCATCCAAAGGAGAGGAGTCACAGTCAGAACAAGGAAGAAATGTAAGAAGGTTTAGAGTCCTTCGCATCAAAAGTTGTGATTCCCCAAACCAACCATGACCTACATCTGCCAGGTCACAGCACAGTGCTGCTCAGTGTTAAAAAAAACACTTACTGTCTCAAAACCTTGAATCCCCTCTACTGTCCAAAACATCCCTAAATCCCTTTCCTCTCTCTTCTCGTTCCTGATCCATCTGGACAAAACACCACTCCGGTCACTTTTCTCATCCTCTCCTATCCTCCCTTCCCTGACCCCGACCCTGAACCCAGCCCAGACATAACTGTCAAGCCTTCAGTAAATTCCTACTAGCAGCTTCTCCTTCTCGGGGGGACTGGCAGGCAGCATTCTCAGAAAACATTGATCTTCCCCTTTCCTCCCTTAGAGTCTCAACTATATCCAGAGCTGGACCAGGGCAGGCATTGACTTGGCCCCTATCGGCCCCTGGGCCCTCACTGCCACCATGCCTTTGATGTGTGGAGACTCCTGAAGGCTCTTGGGGCCATGAGGCTAAATTGCTTTTCTCGCTAGATCAGAACGACACTGAACTACCTCTCCCTTCCCTGTTTGAGATTTGAGACCAGGTAACAGGCCTATGTGTGAGAGAGAGGGAGAGCTGCTCTGGGGAGGGTATGATATGAGTGCTGTGACCAATAGTTAGACAACAAAGACATTAGCTGGAATTGAATTGACCCTGCCATACCAATGGAAACGCATTGTCTTGATTACAAACTGCAACCCAATCTCATACAATTCTTACTCTGAAAATGTGAAGCTTCTAGTTGTTGAACAGCGGTGGAAGGCAGGGAGAGAGAACGAGTGATAATTAAAATATGTCTAAATAATTCTGACAGTATGGAAATCAAATTAAGATGTCCAGTGCCTTGAGAAAGTATTCACCCCCCCTTGGCATTTTTCCTATTTTGTTGCCTTACAACCTGGAATTAAAATGGATTTTTGGGGGGTTTGTATAATTTGATTTACACAACTTGCCTACCACTTTGAAGATGCAAAATATGTTTCATTGTGAAACAAACAGGAAATAAGACAAAAAAACTGAAAACTTAAGCATGCATAACTATTCACCCCCCAAAGTCAATACTTTGTAGAGCCACTTTTTGCAGCAATTACAGCTGCAAGTCTCTTGGGGTATGTCTCTATGAGCTTGGCACATCTAGCCACTGCGATTTTTGCCCATTCTTCAAGGCAAAACTGCTCCAGCTCCTTCAAATTGGATGGGTTCCATCTTTAAGTCATACCACATATTCTCAAGTGTTGCTTTATCAGTATGCTTAGGGTAATTGTCCTGCTGGAAGGTGAACCTCCGTCCCAGTCTCAAATCTCTGGAAGACTGAAACAGGTTTCCCTCAAGAATTTCCCTGTATTTAGTGCCATCCATCATTCCTTCAATTCGGACCAGTTTCCCAGTCCCTGTCGATGAAAAACATCCCCACAGCATGACGCTGCCACCACAATGTTGTTCTCGGGGTGAATGGTGTTCTCGGGGTGATGAGAGGTGTTGGGTTTGCGCCAGACATAGCGTTTTCCTTGATGGACAAAAAGCTCAATTTTAGTCTCATCTGACCAGAGTACCTTCTTCCATATGTTTGGGGAGTCTCCCATATGCTTTTTGGCCAACACCAAACGTGTTTGCTTATTTTTTTCTTTAAGCAATGGCTTTTTTCTGGCCACTCTTCCGTAAAGCCCAGCTCTGTGCAGTGTACAGATTAAAGTGGTTTTATGGACAGATACTCCAATCTCCGCTGTGGAGCTTTGCAGCTCCTTCAGGGTTATCTTTGTTGTCTCTTTGTTGCCTCTCTGATTAATGCCCTCCTTGCCTGGTCCGTGAGTTTTGGTGGGCGGCCCTCTCTTGGCAGGTTTGTAGTGGTGCCATATTCTTTCAATTTTTTTATAATGGATTTATTGGTACTCCGTGGGATGTTCAAAGTTTCGGATATGTTTTTATAACCCAACCCTGATCTGTACTTCTCCACAACTTTGTCACTGAACTGTTTGGAGAGCTCCTTGGTCTTCATGGTGCCGCTTGCATCGTGGTGTCCCTTGCTTAGTGGTGTTGCAGACTCTGGGGCCTTTCAGAACAGCTATACAGTGAGGGAAAAAAGTATTTGATCCCCTGCTGATTTTGTACGTTTGCCCACTGACAAAGAAATGATCCGTCTATAATTTTAATGGTAGGTGTATTTGAACAGTGAGAGAATCAATAACAACAAAAAAATCCAGAAAAACGCATGTCAAAAATGTTATAAATTTATTTGCATTTTAATGAGCGAAATAAGTATTTGACCCCTCTGCAAAACATGACTTAGTACTTGGTGGCAAAACCATTGTTGGCAATCACAGAGGTCAGACGTTTCTTGTAGTTGGCCACCAGGTTTGCACACATCTCAGGAGGGATTTTGTCCCACTCCTCTTTGCAGATCTTCTCCAAGTCATTAAGGTTTCGAGGCTGACGTTTGGCAACTCGAACCTTCAGCTCCCTCCACAGATTTTCTATGGGATTAAGGTCTGGAGACTGGCTAGGCCACTCCAGGACCTTAATGTTCTTCTCTTTGAGCCACTCCTTTGTTGCCTTGGCCGTGTGTTTTGAGTCATTGTTATGCTGGAATACCCATCCACGACCCATTTTCAATGCCCTGGCTGAGGGAAGGAGGTTCTCACCCAAGATTTAACGGTACATGGCCCCGTCCATCGTCCCTTTGATGCGGTGAAGTTGTCCTGTCCCCTTAGCAGAAAAACACCCCAAAGCATAATGTTTCCACCTCCATGTTTGATGGTGGGGATGGTGTTCTTGGGGTCATAGGCAGCATTCCTCCTCCTCCAAACACGACGAGTTGAGTTGATGCCAAAGAGCTCTATTTTGGTCTCATCTGACCACAACACTTTCACCCAGTTCTCCTCTGAATCATTCAGATGTTCATTGGCAAACTTCAGACGGGCATGTATATGTGCTTTCTTGAGCAGGGGGACCTTGCGGGCGCTGCAGGATTTCAGTCCTTCACGGCGTAGTGTGTTACCAATTGTTTTCTTGGTGACTATGATCCCTTTAAGAGTGTGCTCCTAATCTCAGCTCGTTACCTGTATAAAAGACACCTGGGAGCCAGAAATCTTTCTGATTGA